AGGCCTAATTGTCCATGAAGCCAAGACAAAACACTCGCTTCACTCTATTCCTAATCCTATTATTATAAAAACTGTTTTCATTGTGTTAAAAAAAGTTTCAAAACTGTTGCAAATAATGATGTCTAATTTTCGACTGTCTGCTTAACGAAGCCTTAACGAAGCCCCTGGGGAGGCTTTTTTATCGATGTTTTGAGCTCATTAAGTCAATTTATGAGATAACGAAGAAATTAATAGCAAATTTCATAGGATTGCATATACCGCTAATCAGGCTATCCGTTTCTGTCCAGTCAATTTGGATGTGGTTTTAGCGAGCAGTGTTTAGTTTTAAAGGTTTTTAAAACAGTTGGGAACAGTGACTTCAGCCACTCACAGATAACTAGGTATTAAATCAACAACTACATCCATTTTTTATTGGGATTTCACCAAAGTTTGCAGCTTCGAATAGCTGTCAATGGTTGTGGGTAGTTGAAGGGACAAAAATAACAGACTTAAGTAATGTGTATTGTGGTTTGGAACATTAGCAACATTTTAATTACCTGCCTTTTACCATATATCTGTAGGAAACATTCCTCGTGTGAAATTATGCTTGACTTCGGCTTCTTTACAATTTACCAAATTCATCCAAAGGCGATATTTTAAGCTATTTGAGATTTTTGCGACAACAGTTAAGGACTATTCTCCATGATTCCTGTAGCAGGTGATCAGATGGGAGGCTCAGTGGAATGCCAGTGAAGGCAGGAACCCTAATTGGCTTGGTTTCCTTCTAATTCAGTAAGCTGTTTACAAGACGATCAAAAAGCAACGATGTACAATACAAAAAATTTCCTTAGAGTCTTACAATTAAAAGACTTGAAAGATTCGTTCTGCTAAGTGTGACTATTAATTCGAGACCAGCTACTAAATAAGCTGCAGGTTTTTAGCCTTGATCACTAGGAATTGTAGGAAAGCTTCTGGAGCCGTTCCCTGAATTATTATACAACTATAAGGAGGTTCTTGCCGCTAGACGTAACCTTTTGGATACCATTGTGCAACTTTGCAACTTTTCATGCCTTGCAATCATTTTTGATTGTGAAAATTTGTCGCAAAAGCAAACTGCCCCCCCCCAAATATTTAAAAGATAAATCACGATCATTGCTTTGGATTTAAAGACGATGCATTTCTAAATAAATTGCCTTTTCCTTCTGCTCAAGAAAAATCAAATAAAATCACACAAACATACGAGTTTTGAATATACATTGATCCCCAATAATCAATACAAACCCAAACCACCGGGAAAGTTCGAGGACAAGAGAAACGAAGGTAAGATTTTGCGTCTTTAAGCCGTTTTCTTTATTTTTCTGAAACAACGAAAACGCTACCTTACCTGCTTATAATACAAAATAAAGTGCACTTTCAATTAGCTTAAGCCAGTTTCAGTGATCTAAAATTCTTAAGACAGCTAAAAGTATGGTGCAGTTTGCAGCTGAAAAAAATTTCAGATTGCACACATTTTGCGATCGGAGATCATTTGCAATTGGTAACAAATTGGGACTCTAATAATTCTGGGTCAACCTCTAAGGGTCAGAGGTCAGACCCGATTCTCTAAATCAATTCAATTTAATTCTTTCTTTTTCCCTCAGAATACATAAACAGAAAATGTACCCATCTGCTTTAATACATAGACATTAAAATACATCTAAATAAGTAACACACTACGTTACACACATTAAGATAAGATATAATAGCGTTTTATAAATCAATGACATCATATCGATGTTATATGTTACATGAAATGAGGAAAGCTAATTATTTTTCAGCAGGTCCCTCATTAGATACGAACCACCCACACTTTCATAACTGGTTCAAATAAAGTGACATGTTCCTGACGTCGGCAACCCGTTGACAGCGCTGCATATAAGAAGTGATTCAATCGATGGTATAGCATTCTCTCCCAACACGACCGACGAAATCTGAAGAGGCTTCTTGTGTATATGACCACGCTTAGGTCCAGCCAGTAATGGAGAGGCAACTTTATCAAATCGCGGGCGGGTATGCGAGACGAACTCTTCTGTTCATGATGTGCTTTTTCAGCTGTCTTCAAACAGGTAGGTCCTCGATAAAAAGCACGTTACCCAAGATTGTCCTGGCCACTTATAGAAGTTAGTGTGTTTTTAATTCATAAGAATAAGGACTGCATGATGACTTTTATCGGTAAGAAAAAAGTGAGATGTGCACTGAATCACTCCAGGTTTTGAAAATGAATTCTCGTATTTGGCATAATCCAAATCCATTTTTTGTTGCTGATGGTAAATATCCGCCTAAAGCGTAATGGCGTTGCCAACATCTAGACTCCTTGTTGTTGTACAGAGTTTGTTCCGCTAATTGCAGAGGAAGAGTCTGGTATCTACTGCAGATAGCTGTGCAAACTTATGTAGACGTGCAAAGGGCAAAATACCCATCACCTGTACGGAGGATGCATGGTTTTCACACCCTCAACCACTTCAGGCTATGTTCACACAGTAGGTCAGTAGACCGTCGTGCTAAAAAGGTTTGAAATGTAACAACCATTGAAGGACGCCACATTCAAGTTATATTTTACATGGAGCAGAGTATCATATGAGTCGAACATTATTCTCACAAACAAACAAACAAACAAACAAACAAACAAACAAAACAGCTAAATGCTGAAATGCTGGCATTGTGGTGCCCTTGCCAGTATGTGTAGATCATCATAAGGGTTAACATTTTTGTGTGTGATTCTTTGTTGTCTCAGTAAATGATATTCATGAACATTTAGGACAGTTTAGCCATTCCGATTGGTAATAGTACCGAAACATGGCCGGTCTTAACTGCTCGACTGCACCAGATCATGTGTAACATAGCATTGCCAAAGGGGTGTCTGAAAGTATGAACAAAAACGCTGGAAATTTATACTCCATTAACATTTTATGTTGACCTTTTTTCTGACAAGGTATTTATGATTTGAATAAATGTGTACTTGGCCGGTACTGTTAATGTTTCAGAATGGCAACACAGACCCAAGTTTTACTTCCAGGTTTAGTGTACAACCTTACGCAATTCTCTGCTTAGAAAACCTCCGAATTATTCTTAAACAAGGGAAAGCGTTAGGTGAACCAAGGTTTGGATTTGAAAAATGGCTGCGCAAGCATCTTTCAAAACAACAGAAACCAGTAACGATTACAAAGACACTAAGGGATTAAATGAGACTGTGTATAGGATTTGCACGATCGGGATTGTCAAATAGTGTCAGACTATCTGCGAAATCTTATCGCCAGGAATACTGCCATTTTCGAGAAAAGAGAACTTTTATATATTTCCCCAAAGATAGTCCGGACAAACGAACATGGAGAATATGATTCGTTCAAATATCGAACCGTTAACGGGTACCACGAAAATATGTGAAGCATTAAGCTGTTGGAAGAGTAAATATTAACGGGTGAAGGTATGATATATATACCAACACGCCTTCGGTACGCCTAAACTCATTATTAACTTAATAGATATATAACCATAACCAACAGCCTAAATGATAATTTTGACTAGTTTAAAGCAGAGTTTCTTTATGAATCTGCAGAAGTTTGCCTCACGTGAATGTATCATCGCTGTATCACTCCTCAAGATAATGGTATGGTACAAATTGATCATGGCCGATGCCCTGTTTTCTCGAACAAAATTGCAATTTCGAGACATTTGACTTTCTGTTTCTCCAGTCAGAGTAACTTTTATGCCAAAAATGCAAGGATAGATGCCACATGTGTTGAGTTACAAAGTGTTTATGGTGGGCACAGACGTGCAGACGGTTTTTAACGGACGGTAACAGGCTACGTATGAAGAGCGAGCTGCAAGGTCGATCGATCGTGCCTGCGCACATGCACCGGTACATGTACGTGTTGGTCGTGCATTGACGGTGGGGATGAATGTAGTTCACTGCACAATGACACGGTGCTCATATGAGAAATTTCAGCTTTGAATTGTTGAAGAGGAAAAATAAATGTGAATTTTTGCCAGCCAATATTACGGTACAAGGCATGAAAAAATGCATTTTGAGTACCATAATTGGTCTGCAGATCAACCTCGCCTGTGCATTGTCCATGGCACTCAGGAACATCCTATGGCCGATGGACTTTTGTGAGAGAAATCACACGAGCTAGGCTTTCACTGTTACATGTTAAGTGTTAAATTAAACGGCGGTTTTCTCCATTTTCTGAAAGCACTGAACTCAAGAAATTGAAACAGGTCCTTGAAATGATACACAAAGTAAATCCCAAACCCCCAAATTGGCAAATTTTACAAATTGCACTACATGCAATTCTTGTGCACTGCCTTTTTAAAAACGTTAAGACCGGCTCAGGAGAGTGGATGCGACTAATGTTAAATCGATTCTAGCTCATTGGTCAAGAGTCTGTGCACGCCGCTCGCCACGCGCGCACCAAGTCCATATAAGGGGATTCTTTTGGACAACTTGCAATATACCATAAAATGGACGGGGTGTTGGGAAAATGAAAGTAAGAAATTCTAGAATAAAATCGTCGAAAGTCCATGATACATTGACGTCTTTTGACTCTCTGACTAAAAAAGTTATTTATAAATGGGAATAAATAAGTGCTTGTCCAGTCTTTAACGTTTAAGACCGGCTCAGGAGACTGAACGCTGATAATGCCGTTCATTCTCCCGAGCCTGTGCAATTCATTTTATGGTCAGGTTTTATGAAAGGAACCGAAGACTGTAAAGGTCCTTACTATGTACAAGGACAGTGATAATGTGCGCACAGAGACATTCCGTATTATGCGCTATATAAGAACTGATTATCACTATATTATTAAATGCGAATATCGTCATCCGATGACCTGCTGCTCCAACAAAAAAGGCTAAAAGCATTATGAAATGAAAACATACGAAATCTCAATAAATGTAAAAAGATTCATATGTTTAATTACCAAATGATATACTAAAAAACAAAAAGGAAGAAATAATTTATACATAGACGTAGGGTACAAAAATTATACATGTACCAAGGTCGTAATTACTGTGGTAAAACTTTACTTTACTCAATAAAATGTAGGTCTATATTCTCTAATTCCTTCCAATGACAAGAACCAGAGGAAAAATTAAAGTGGTACTGGCAAGAACGCAGACCAAGCTGCTCACTGCATTTACCGCTTGTATTACAGAGAATTGGAGGGAAAAGGTAGCATCCTTGTGTGGTGATACATCCTGTTAGTATATCTGCCTAATGACCCCCTCTGACTAGGTGGACCCCATCATAAGGATCTGTTTCAAGCAAGAACAAGGGAGAGTGTGTTTTAAAAATGGAATCGACAGCCCTTTTGTAGGAACTAATAAAGTGGGGGCGCATGTTTATAAGCGACTGTCACCAAAATATCCAAACTCATCGAAAACAGGTTCTGAAATCCTGAAACTTCCACAAATGGGAAGATTTAATTTTTTGAGGGGGGTTCAATAACGTGACGGTGGTTGTCAAAAATAAAATCCCTTGATCTCGAAATTGCACAAGTGCTTAAAAAACTCTTTGTGGTCAGGATTTCTGCTGTTCAAGTTCCATATAACGTCGTATGACCTTCAGTTTTTGTTTCTTTCATCAGAGTACAACCATGAACATGAAGTCTATGCGTACAGGCAGTGAGCACGGCAAATATGCCTTTCAACCGGCGTCCCAAATTCTGGAGAACGGTTATAAGTCATCAAATAAAGAGAAACCTTTTACATAAGTCACTACCTTGACTTCTGAAACAGTCAGGTCCTGCTTTTCCTGGGGCTGTCTTTCCACTTTTGCTGCTCGTGGTTATTTCTAAAGGGTCTCTGTTGTAGAGGGCGTGCTGATTCTTTCACTTCTGCTTCTGTGCTGCTATGTCGCAGCTGTTGTTTTACAGGTGCTGCTGTGGGCTACTCCAACTATTCTAACTGTTTTATTTTCGACAGTCGAATATTTTTGTGACGTTTGGTCTCCCCTTAACATTTGCAGGTGACAGCGCAATTTGTCCTGAATCAAAAACGAGATGTTCAAATGGCTGCCTGGATAGGGAGGGCCCCGCACTTGACGAACCAAAAGAGCTATGCCGATGTGACCCACACTGCGTCATCTACGACGACTGTTGTGAAGACTACTGGACAAATTGCGCCAATGACTTATCAGAGCTTCGATTTAATTTGATGCTTCACTCCAAGTATTTTGCGTATTTAGGCTGCATTTCTCCCATCTATACTGACATATCTTACAACAGCTTCGTAGTAGTAGATCGGTGCCCTCCTGGTTGGTTCATAGGCACGACTAGAAATCGATGCGAGAACATCACTCTTTCGCGGCAGGAGAAACATCTAACTCTGTTTGTCAACGGTCCTGGGGACGTTGTCTTCAAGAACGTGTACTGCGCAATCTGCCACGGCATCGAGGAAGAACAACTCCATTCTTGGGTGGCAGAGCTGTGGGAGTGCCAACCAGCTGCTGGAGAGACAGTGCCGGTCGAAGATGGTGGCGAACCAGATTATAACACATGCTCAGAGTTCCGCGTGCATCCTCCAGCTTCCATGCCGTACGACCCTCATCGATGCTACCCTGGTATCATTGAAAGCTGCCCGCCCAACACGACTGCCCCTGTCGAACAAATCCAACTCTGTGAAACCCGCACCTCCCTACTGTTCGAGCGTCCAGGAGATGCTGTCTACAAGAATATCCACTGCTTAAATTGCAGTAATGGGTCCACAGGATCAGTCAATGAAGATAATCTGGCCTGTCGGCCATTAAGTCGACGGATCCGATTCGATCCACGTCTTTCGTTCACGATTCTCTTTGATTTTCGACTTCGAGGGGTACACATCGTGAAGAACACCTGGCATGGCACCGAGAGAATCTCCTCCTCTCCTCAGTTGTTGAGGAACTGCAGTCAATGGCAGCTGTATGACCCTTTCCGAGGCGTCTGCCGAGATATAATGTGCACAGATGGCCAGGCTCCTGACGAGGCATCGGGCACCTGTTCCACAGAACAGGTGGAAGGTACATCGATAAGACTAGCAAAATTTCTCAATGACTGTCCGAAAGATTTGAAAGCGATAAACGGCGAGATATCCAAAAACAACTCATCCCTGTGGACAGTCGAAGATATCAAACAGGCAGACACCAGCTCAGGCAAACGACGTCATGTCTCTCTCAACATCTATACCAATTTTGCTCGGGCTGGTCACATTCAAAGTTCTCTCGACCTGATTTTGTCCAACGTTACAGACCTTGTTGACCTCGCTTGTAATGCTTCATCACTGGTTCTTGTAGCGTCAAATCAGCCCCCAAACCCACCAAAGGGAATCTGTGAGGGTTATCGACTGGGCAACATCAGCTTCGCAGACATATTTTTCCTAGACGGTGCTTTCAACGTCAACATCAGTGGATTCGTTTACGATCAACACGAGTTCATGCATGAAACAGAGTATGTCTTTGATGTCGGCGAGGCCATTGTTACCAAGCGAGAGTCAGTTACTCTTTGCAATCCCTTGGTGGGAGATCGTGGCTGCTCTCCGATCACGTTGTATCCGGAAGATTTCTATCGATCCATCGATGGAGGTGCACTCACTGAGAAAGATGGGGGTCTTTTGTTTATTGCAGGCAGTTACTGGCTTTTACCAGACGGCACAGCTCGAGTGTGTCGAGTAGAATGGTTCCACGCTCTGGCCTACGTCAGTTACGTAGGCAGTTCGTGCTCTGTTACTGGTCTTGCCCTTGCCCTTTTGACGTATATTACGTTCCCAAGTCTGCGCAATACACCCGGTAAAATCGTTATGAACCTCATGGGAGCTCTGTTCGTCTCTCAGGTATTTCTAATGTTCGTTGCGGATCCCCAATCTTGGCTCTGCGAACTCCGAGGCGCAATGCTGCATTTCTCGTGGCTGGCTGTCTTCTCCTGGATGAGCGTCTTGGCGTGTGACTTGGCTTACAACCTCAATTTCAATTTGAGGCCGGCTCAACAAGCTCGACAGGGTAGATTGCAGGACTGGAAGGTACTCAAACTGTCGATTTTTGCTTGGGGCTTACCGGCAGCCATCGTATTCTCGTGCCTTATGGCGACAAGGTTCAATAGAAGTTCGTCAATCTGGTTCCAGTACGGGGGCAAGACATGCTGGATCGTGGGAACATTTCAATCTGTCCTGGCATTTGGTTGTCCAGTCACTTTGGCAATCACTCTAAATTTTGCCATGTTTGGTCACTTGATGCACAGAATGATTGCGAATAATCGAAGACTTGCTGCATTACGAGTGGGACAACAAACCAAGACAACCATTCTGCTGTGCTTAAAGGTAAAAGTATAATAAAGTGTAATAGTATAATCCATTTCAATTAAATATTACCCTTAATAGTCGAACAAACATGCTTTGAGGCCCCAAGTGGAAAATGTTTCAAAGAGCTGAATGTTACTTTCATTATTGTGTCCCACCCAAATATCATGGGTCTCGCAAGCGTTTGTCTGAGCATACAGCAACTGATTCCCTAACCGGAATTAGAAGCCATTTCCTTGGTGGAACTCTGTTTCTGCGGCGGGTGGTACGCGCTCTGGTCTATATTCCTGTTCGACCACTAGGGGTGGGACACCTTCACTGTAAAATAATACTGTTAAATTAGTAGTATTATACCGTGTTGTTTCTACAGTTAGTCAGGCTACTGTCCAATAAATAACAGCGATTTACCGTAAGATAAATTTCTGTAAATCATTAACAGTATTCTACTGGCGCCCGTGCTGCCAGTAAAGTACTGTGAAAAATTACAGTTTTGCCAAACATATACAACACGTATACCTTATTCAACGGTAAGGCAACCCCCCCTTTTTTACAAGTAATACTTCATAGGTAAGTAAGAAACAAAGTAAACGGTATACTTATTTTAAGATATCAGGATCAAAATCCTCAGAAAACAACACCACGAAATAAAAGCCAGATCGTAGACCGGCTCGTGATATTTTTCTCCCCTACGCCATGTAGAAGCCTGACGCCGCATTTGCTTATGAATCCCCCGCGATACCAAAAGCTGGACACGTCGCTGGTCATAAAAATAGATAAATGGACGGGTATGTTTGCCGCACCAAGCATCTTAGAGTCTCCCACTTTGTAATGTTCTTTTTTTCCCCGACAGATTGGCACAGTTACTGGAGTATCGTGGATATTTTTCGTTCTGGCCAACGCTGTCCGAGAGCCAGCGCTGTGGTATATCTCGGTCGTCACTAACTCCTTGCAAGGCGCCCTCATTGCTGCAATCTTCCTTCTCAAGGCCAGCGTCAGGGCGCTCTGGAGGGTTAGGCTGGTGCACACCTGCGCACGCATGCGTTACAGTTGCTGTTGCCTCTGTCGACGAGCGACCACTTCAAAGAAAGCCTCCAGCGACGTTCGTGAAGTTTGTCCAGCCCCAGTGAATTTGGGCCAAAGGTGCACGTCTGCACAAGAGGAAGAACAACTGCCAAAACAACAACCAACCGCTTTGGCAACCAATCAAATTCAAGAACAGCAACCTAAAACACCACCACCGTAAAGAGAAAAAAACAGCAACAGCAGCATATACACATTAGCAAAATGAACAACAATAATAAAAATAAAAACAAAACTAACAGAGATACAACAAAAGCTGCCTTGCAACACACAACAGCAGCAACAGAAAACTACATTAATAACAGCAAGAACAACATCCACAGCGACAAGGAAATCATTCAGCTGAAACTGAACAAAGTGTCTACGTCATTTTCATTGTTGGCATGACCCAGGGCAGCAACACGCAATACACGACTCCATAAAGCCTGAGAGTAAAAGGGCCCACAGCAACTTCGGGAACGCTTGCGCGGATTTTAAAAGGGTCCTCCTGTCACGTTCGATAATTTTGGGAAGATTGATTTCTAATTAAAAACGCCCAAAGAAACACTCATGTAGGAATTTTCCCTTGTCCTCTGCAAATAATATTTAGAAAAATCATTTATGTACACATTTAATGTGTAAAGCTGCCAGATTGAGGCTCTGCGTGCATATGGCGGCTGAGTGTAAAGAAAGATTGGGTGGGACTTAAATGTCTTGCAGTCAGCGTCATATCCCATTTTCAAAACATGGACAGGTACAGTCTGTACACTGATGTGCAAAATATGACCTCATCCTCATATTGATGTATTATTTTGTGCACTGTTACAATTTGTTCAATGCATCATTCCATAAACACACCCAAAAATCAATGAGAATTTTCGTTGGAATTTTGCACTTAACCTACATGCATGCGATGTTTACCATCACGGCGCTTTTTACTGAGATGTAATAACAATCTTCCTTTATGACGAGGTTAATATTTTATGACACCTTAATTAATTCACATCCTAATTGATTTAGCCAACGACCTTCACGGAACGCCAATTGACTGAAAAGATCAACCTTTCATTAATAACAATCCGGGCTGTCTGCTTTTATAACCAAACGCATTTCCCTATACTCTGTTCATACAGCACTTTTTAAATAACATTAATAGTTACTCTGTTGCACGTTTGCGCTAGCACGATATAGTTTGGTAAGTACACAACTTGTGGTATCTTAATAGACGTCTTTGCAAACATACAAAACTCACTGTGTTGATGTAGATATCACTTTACACTTCATATCTGTAGAGATGAATCGCATTTAATATCACAAGATTCTGTGCGAAATAAAGAGTTTAGCTGTGAATAGCTGTGTATTGTGATTCCACATAGGCGTGAATGTTTCCAAAATTTTATAGTCTTTCTTATTTGGATGCAAAAACATTGACCCGCTCTCACAAATCAGTCACCAATCGCCTGAGCCACTTTGTGTTTCTGTGTCCTGACAAAACATATTTTTGATTGGTCAGAGAAGATCACAACCTTTAAATAAGCTCACAAAAAGTCATACAATATATCATTTAAAAATGAAGAAACAATACAGTGTGAAAAATGTTTTACATAAAAATAAAGATTAAAATATGAAGTGTTGTTCCAGTAAGCACGTGTAGGGTGAACTGTAAAAGCAAAGACTGCATGTATAATAAAATATGTCTGCAAAAAAAGATGTTCCTTTGTCCTCAGTACTATGCCTTTGATCGGAAACGGCAAGTGCACATGCAACTCACTTTGTCCCTGTGCCGTCGATCAGAGCGCCCCCACAGCCTCCCGCTCCCACCCGGGAAATGGATCATTCGCATATCCAACAATTTAGGATACGTATATAAGAAATAATTTGGTGCCTGGCTATGCCTTCAATCAGCGTTTGTTTTAGCAAAAGATTTCTGGTATTAACGCTCAGTCAGTTCTTCGTAACATGTTGTATCAGGGAGCGTGTGATGTTTTTTCAACATCTTTTCAAAAATGTCTCATCCAGCCAACATCAATTTTTTTTTCTACAACTGCAATCAACAACCTGAAGTGCGTGCAGCTTGGCACTTCGCACTGAGACAGTATTGCGCCTGTACAATGTTGGACGTCACAGCTTGCTATATGCATATCGTGACCGCGAGGACACTGCCTAATTCGACCATGCCTGAGGCCCGGCCCGCAAGACGTCATTGAACAGCAGTGAGATATGCCAGTGACGGAAGCATCAAAGATGCTTTGCGTTCATTTTCCCCTGTCATAGCTGCTCCCACACCTGAAAGGCGAAACACACGGTGCCCCAAAGCACAATAAAGCGAGTACCTTGCTGTCCGACTGTTACATGCAATGTTAAAATCTACGAAAACACACACGAGCACTACCATCTGCAAAGAGAAAACCGTTCAGGAGTTCTCATGATTGCTTTATTTCTTTTTTCATATAAAGTAATAACACCATCGATTAGATTTACAACGACATTAAAAGTTAGTGTTTGGAAAAGGCCGAAAAGGGCACTTTAAGGTACGGTATATGTGAATCCTTTCAACAAAATCTGTGCAAGTTCCTACAGTAATCAATTCACTGTAGCTAAACAAAATTCGCCCGGACAATAGATGGTTGGACCAGGCAGGAGCGCGGTTGCATCACTGGTTATGAACGATCTGTTTTCATTTACAATTGACCTGTCTAGGTACATGAACCACCTACAGAGGAAACCCCTGACGGGAGTACGGCAAATGTCCCAACAATTACGGCAAATTGCCATCAAGTACATCATTTTGTAAAATGGGTCAATTATGTAGGATCATTTGAGTGACATTTCATTGCATGCCCGGAGTGGTTTCACGCACGTGATCGGCGCTGGCGCTAACGTTTGGTCACTCATGTGCCCTCTGCTGACGTCAAGTCTGTCATGTTCTGTCATCAGGGCATGTGTTTCCTTCAATGCAACACCCTCACACTTATGACAAGTGACCATTTTCAGCCATCCAATTTCACCTCAGCTAACTGCCTAATGAGAACGTTCATAATAAAATGGACAAGCCCGACTGATCTCGCCAGTAATTTGCCCAGGGAATGCTTCACTACACGTCTTCATGGATTTGTAGGTTTAAGTGCTAGTCTCCTGTCTACTTTCAACAGAAAACCGCACCTACGAGTCAGCAGACTGGTCCAAACAAACTTGTTAATTCGCTGGTTCCCTACCACCTGAGCACTTTTGGACAGTATTAATTATTCATTCAATGTACCGCTTTTTACTACCCTACTGGTGAGCATTGGTAAATACAAATTTTCTTCAAAATAATCTGCGTGGGAGTTAAAATGAGCCCATGTCGCAAAGCACTGTGGGTATTTTACTGTCATTATCAATACAAGTCCACATGCATTACGTTTTTGTGCGCATGCGAAATGTATTGACCCTGGTCTTTGGGCAATCAAATCTGTCTAAATGACAGGCTGAATAAGTTACATCACACGTTGCAAATTAATAGAATATCAGCAGGGAATCGGATAGGGTAAAATAAGTTACTTTATACTCGTTCAAAGTCTTTAACTTGATATTCCTTTTATCAAGACAACAAACAGCCAATGTCTTCGAGATGTTCGTTCACGATCACACACACACAAAATTAATCGATACAAATAAGGAGAAAGGCCATAAAAATATCATGCACGTGCAACAGTATTGAGAGCTCTGTTAAAGGTTAACAGAAACTGAAATCATTTCGTTCACGTGAAGTATTGAATTAACAATAAATACGTAACCATTTCAAAAACATCATAAATTCATTGCCTAATTGCACACAGTACATGCAGTTTAGCACGCTTGCAATAGACCATGTTCTGTTTGATGTAGTTTGGCCCACTGATAAACACTGTCTCAGTTCAAAGTAGAAATTAAAAGACAAAGTCATAACGTGTATTTCTTGTGCAATCACGCAATGTACATGTACACTGTACATGCAGGCGTTCTGCCGATGACGTCGTCAAACCAGCCTGGGAGCGTGAACGGCTAAAATGGGATTTTTTGTGGGCGGGGAAACGCAGGATCTTTTTATTCATTTGAAAGTACATGTATTGATGGGATAAACATTGAATTTATGATGTTTTTGAAATGGTTACGTCTTTATGTTTATTTTGAAATACTTAACGTGAACTAAAAGTTTTCAATTTCTGTTGACCTTTAAATTTCAACGAGAACTGCTCATTCATGTAATATATTTTCATAACTTTGCGACTATGTGAGTCCACAGCATTCATATATGTACACGTACAGTACCAAACTAACCTGTTTACCTGTACATGTACCTCGCCTTGATCATTAATATCAAGTTTTCACAAATTAACTATCATCCCTATGTGCAATATGGTTAATAACAGGGATCCTTGAGCAGGTAGGACATAAGTACTCATTAAACATGTACGCACGTTTTGAACAATTCGGTATGTCTGTGTCAATAAAAACATGCAACAATGCTTATTAAGCCTAACCCCCTGGGGTGTATGTAAAATTGTATTGAAATTGGAGGATTTGGGACTGTTAGGGTTAAGCAACCTGAACATGTAAAAAACGATGGGTGTTCAAAACAAGAGGAAACTGTTAAACTTTCCAAAAATAATCCCCCAAATGGCCAACATACATTTTTATAAAATTTTCACGGAAATTTCATGAAAAAAACATAGCAACGCATTAAAGGCAAATCCAAACAAAACAAAAAGCAAAACTTAGAAAGGGTTGCTTTTGGTGGTGTGGTTCATTAATTTAAGGAACTGTTAGAAGTAATGAAAGGCAATGAGTTGAACTGTGCAAACGCTTTTCTGAGATTCATTAGCAGGGTACAAAAAAAATGAAAATTTAACCATAATCAAGCAAGTCATTTCGAACAAGACAACACAAATTGACAGAAACCATAATCAAAACCACAGGTTTTGTAGAGTCCAGAGCTTTCTACTATTTTGAAGGAACTTGTCCTCCTATAAAAAATAACAAAACAGCACCGACAATCAATGGCAGAGCTCTTGGTATGAAAGGGGCAACATTATCCAGTTCGTTTGAGAGATTGTCAAATCCTAAATCCATTTATGTACTGGACAATCTGTGACAGGAAGGAACCTGACGTTTGTCTTAATTAAAGGTATTGCCTCACATTGAAAAATTCTTGTCCTTTGGAGCGCTGATCGTATTCACTGATTTCTCCAGCCCTGTGTTCTTTTGTACCTCCCGTTTGCTTTCTTCAAGGGCACTAGTCAGATGTGGCAGGACCAACTGGGCATGTTCAATCAGCAACTACCATACGTCGACCCTTGGTCGATTTGGCCCGGTACCCCATCTACATTTTTTTGAAGAGGTTACAAGGGAAACTGGCCAGTGTTCAAGAAAGTGTCTCGGACTTGCCAAACGGTGCCAAGGATCACACCCTAAAATCATAATACACTATCAGTGTTATAGCCAGCCATGTTTTAGTGCAGGACGCTTTAGTAATGGGGAATGGAGATTGCAAAGCGACCGGAGTCTTACGGGTCATAGCCAGGGGTGCAGGGGCTCGCGTAAGGGGACTCTACATTGCTTTTCAGTGAGTTTTCTTTCCAAATTGATTAACAGTTAAACTTTTTCAATTCTTCCAGGTAAAAACATGAAATGTTCAGAGTGACTAATGTTTTTTCAGGGATTTGTAAAGGATTTTTGTGCCTGTCGGTGGGTTGTTTCATCAAGCTTAGTGCCAGACGGTAGAACGCTGTGGTGGAGATCCTCGACCAACGTAGCAATAACACTGTATATACATCATGAGGCACCAAAATGACAGGGTTGGATGACTCCTGTTTGAATCCAGAGGTGGTGGTTTCGAACCCTATTGCAGTCCAATTTCCTGCTCATCTTACAATCATCACATGAACATGACATCTATTTCTCTGTAAAACTCAATTCTTCAAGATTCCCTTTGTATTTTGGCACCCCAAGTTCTGCCATTAATTGCTTAGTGTGTATACAATGTACACATTATATACAAATCTACGCACCATACTGACATCACTTTAGCTTGACCGCCAGTTTCCCACCGTCTTTCTTAAAGGCCCGCTGCGCTTCCCGCTCCATTTTTTTCCGGTGCTGCTCGGCCGCTCGCCGATCACGTTCAGCCTGCTTCTTCTCCTTGATGACGCGGTCGGCGTCCCTGGACAGGTCCAATGCGCTGGCTTCATCTTCCCACGTGCCATCCATTTCATCGTCCCACGCCGATAATTCTGACTGCAGTTGAGAATGATTAAAATGGGAACTGCTCAAGATGCATGTTTGAAAATTTTGAGATGGAACAAAAGACAAAAAGGGCAATGAAAATGGTCAAAAAGACTTACGTCAGATTTGCTGGCTCATGGAGATGAGTAAGTGAAAACCTACATGCCTATCTCAAGAAAAGTTCCTCCTTTATGTTTAAGCAGTGAACACATTACCCCTGCAAGGGCCTTCTTACCGAGGCAACAGGTGTAATATCAACATTCATAGAAAGCCGATTAGATACACCGCTATTGGGCAACCCCGCTCGACTGCGATCCTTTTTCCTAATCAAAACCTGCCAAATAAAGAAAAAAATAAGGAAAATCAAATGAGCTGTAATTTGAAACTGGTCTGGTTCAGATTTTTGCTGAACATACCAAAAACAGTGCCAGAGTTTGGTTTTGAGACCAGGGTGAATTTTCAGTCTGTGCTGCTTGACAACTTCAGGTGGAAAAGAACCAATGCAGTCGGTTGAAGTCTTCGGTACTTTCTCCTGCTGGATAATGCAGGCAACTGGAGTTTGTTTTTAAATTTTAAATGGCAGTGTGAAGCAAAAAAACGTGGAGCTTAGCTGATCCAAGGAAAAGTTGCATGCATGATAATGGTTTAATTGCCTGCTTTTCCAGAACTTGTTCAACATAAGAGATCCAAAACACTGTCTAAAATAGCTACATGAGCATAAAAATTTCTTACACATTATATGACACAATTAAGAATAGAAGTTACATGTTGTTGATAGGTTGATATAGAGTAATAGTGTGTCAGCTGACCACAACAGTATGTCAGCTGACCACAATAGTATGTCAGCTGACAACAATAGTATGTCAGCTGACCACAATAGTATGACAGCTGACCACAATAGTATGACAGCTAACTAAAATAGTATGTCAGCTGACCACAACAGTATGTCAGCTGACCACAATAGTATGTCAGCTGACCACAATAGTATGTCAGCTGACCACAATAGTATGTCAGCTGACCACAATAGTATGACAGCTGACCACAATAGTATGTCAGCTGACCACAATAGTATGACAGCTGACCACAATAGTAAGACAGCTGACCACAATAGTATGTCAGCTGACCACTTTAGGATGTCAGCTTACTATGTATTGTTCTTCCAGTTTTACCTGTACATCATCAAGTTTAAAGAAAGTCCAACACTCTGATTGGTAAAAAATTAAGATCAACAGGTTTCTTCCATAATAGACAGACTGCACCCAGTAAGTCATGTGACCTATAATGGGTATTAAACATCAACAAACATGGCATCCTCCTAAAGCGTAATGCGTCATAAGTGTCAAAATAGCAAAAATAAAGCCAATGGTTGGTAAATTACTCAGACTACTTATGTGCTGAGTGTTATACCGAAAATCAGCTTCATGATGTAAAACAATAATCAAAATACACATTGCTATGGGTGGACGCCATATTTGTTAATGTTTGATACCCACTATTGGTCATGTGACTTGGCAGGTGCGATCCATCTATTAATCAGCAGATACGTATATGCTTCGGTGTATTTATCATTAGCTGAAATTATCATATCACAGATTCAAATTTGAGCGGATCTCCTCAGATTTAGACTCACAGTTTTTTTCAACGTTGGCGCCATGTCACTAAAGTAGTCCATCTCAGGTATGTCATCATCATGTGGGGACACACCCCCTCCAACTGGGGCCAGTGCCCCACCCTCAGCTGCCGTTGGGCCTATGCTGGGGTTGTTTGGTTCAATAATGATATCTGTAGGTGCCCCCGCATAGTCCCAATCATCCCAGTCTGCAATATCTTCCTGATCAGAGGACAAACAGTGACAAAATTCATGACAGATAATTAACAAGGTTCTGGTCAGGGGCATCATGGGAGGTGCTTGCCCTGCTCCCTCTGGAACAAAAGGGAGGATGTTTGATAGAAGATAGGGTTCAAACACATGTAGTTGTGAATATGTACATGTACAGGTATACCGGTACAATACAGGACTAGGACGACTTTGAGACTGCTTCATACATGTAGGTGAGTGGGAAAGAAAGTAAGATCTGTATATTTACATGTATTTATCAACTACTAGCACAAAAACCCTATGACAATGTGCCCCCCCTGTTTATTTGTTTAAGCCCCAGCTTCCCCCATATAGAGTTACCACATGGTCTGGTCACACTCAGTGTAGCAGATCAGCAGAGACCAGTCACCTTCACATGTACCTATGTATTGTTCCTCCTAACTGGAATGTGGTTTTTCTGCTTGAGTCCTATTCTGCTAGGAGTCAGTGATTGAAGTCTGAGTGTAAACTCATAAGGTCCATTTAACGCACTGTGTTGGGTTTTGGTTTGAGTCTTTTAAAATCTAAGCCTTTGGGTGTTTTAAGTCCTTGAGTCCTTTTAGTTTTTTTCATTTTTCCTGTACTTTTTCATTTATAAATTATTTTTTGTCCCTTTTTTGGAGTCAAATATTGGTGACTGAGTCCTTATTAATTTAGTTTCCTGCGACTTCTTCAAAGATCCTTGGTTTAGTTAGAATTTTTGTTGTTTTGCTGATTCCCCATAGCGTGCCATTTTTCCCTGTTACGACAACAACACCATGAAATAAAAGCAAGGATGTCAGGACCATGTGTAAGGCTTTTGATATTTTTAACTCCCCCAACATCATGTTGGATAAGCCTGAAGCCACAGTTGCTTTGAATTTGTCCCCCGCCCCCACACAAAAAGCTGGATACGCCACTGCCTTCTGGCTGTCTTGTCTCATGAAAGTTCTTGAATCCGACATCCTTCCGTGCTAACTGAGGGCATTAGCTGCACCAAGTACTATGGTAGAAAATGTGAAGACTCGTTCATCAGTGTTAAAGATTTAATGTGGAATATAAGAGCTTGTGAATTTTGAACAAGGAAAAGCTGCCTGTCCTAATTTGCTTTTTCCTAACCTCTGGATAGGTGGACAGGCAGTGGGAAAGACATTACATTTTTTTTCACCAAAAACAGCTCTTTCTTTGGTAGCAAAGGAAGTATTCAGTTAGTGCTCAACCAATATGCTGGGTCAAAAAGGTACATGTAAGGGCAGAGCTCACGTTTCTTTCACTCAATGAGTTGTCTGCAGCTGCTGGCGTGCTGATGTTACTGGCAAGAGTTGGCAAGTTAGTGTCGCTTCTGTTCCGGCGATGGAACCTGCCGAACAAGATCCGCTTCAAAAAGCCCAGGACGGCAGCAATAAAGCTGCATATGAACCACTTATTGCATCGGAAGGTAGCCATTGGGGATGTAACCTTTGAACTGTAGTGGTGCACCTGTGGTGATAGGGAATGTTTACAAATTAGAATCTCCCAATGTCACAAGCCGTGTACTAGTACTGGTTATTTACAGCTCCATGAATGCGGAAAAACAAGTGTAATGGACTGACTCTGGCAATCATACCAGAAGCAGGGCCAACAGTGGTGTGCAGTGAATTAAGGGTGGAAGTCTGCATTAATTACATGTACATGCACATTCTAATATTCATACATAGGCCTAATGATTTTTTCCAGTTTGAAAAGACCACGGCCTTCTTGAAACCAAGGGCACTAGTCTTGTGTCTTTGTAAAACTTGTTTTGACTTCACCTCCTTGCTGAAAATTTAAAAAAACATAATTAGGCCTACCTGCAGATATCCAAAACATCCATCTTATAATTTCTCCCCTTGGTCATGTTGGTGTTTATATAAACTCCTATTTTTTTCTTTCTGATATATCAACCAAGGGCAAACAAGTACATGTACATGATGAAGTCAGGCAAGTCCCTAACCCTAAAACATGACTTTGTAACATGGCTGTAATGTAAACACCTTAAAAATCAGTCTTTTCACTATTGAATGTTTTAGCTGTGAGCCTGTTTACGTCGGTGCCACTGCAACAGTCAAAAGTCCCCCAAAAGACTAAGAGTGTTGTGTCATGTGTTTAGACATGTTGGACTTAAATTATTGCGGGCCTAATGTATTTACATGTAATTTGTAAAGGATGGGGGGCACCGATCTTGGCCATCGTTGGTCAGAATAGGACCGGCCGGCATTAGGCCTACAAAGAAAACTAGTTTCCTACGAAAAAGCAGCACAGTACCTGTTAGCAAGGCATATATACTTTGTTTCACAATGGCAATATTAATTCTTAATCAGGAAAGAGAATGATTCACTTGAAAAATGACATGTCGCCACGTTTATGAAGTCAGGGTCGATCACGGGCCACGATTGTGCCTGCTGTCATGTTGAATGCGCCCTCTAGAGGTGAGTCCAAGAAACATAAGAACAGATACGAATAGACTTGTATTAAGTCCGTCAATTACAATTGTACCTTGTGCCCTACTTGAAAGTTATGGTGTTCTGTAACCGCCAAAACCGCCGTGCGCCGTGTCGTCCCGTCGCCCCAAATTGACGCTACGAGAGCTCCGTTGCGTCATCATGTCGCGTCGTTCCGTCACCTCGTTTCTCTTTACTTTTATGCTGCGTTTAAATTAACACTTCGAGGTGGCAGTGTGTCATTTTTTGCAACTGCACTGGGCGGCACTTTGTCCAAAACTTAGGTCAAATCATATTTATTATTACAAAGGACTCATAAATTACATTCTCCCGCTAGCTTTCTGAATAAAAGAGATGGAAACCTTCTCAGGCAAGCCTGTGTGTGTCATTTTGACGTGGTCACTCACAGAATTTTTTTCCGCATGGCCAGATTGGGGGGGGGGGCATTTTGTGCACAAACATAAGGGAGTGTAGATTTGGCCCGCCCTGTTTCAGTGACTGCTTAGATGACCCCATTAGTGAAAACCCCTCTAAAAGTAGCATCTGGGATAGCTAGAAGAAGTCCAAAAGATTTGGATTAGGTCATGTATAGCATTGTGGAACGAACATATCACGTGATTTCTGGCCATTGTGTGGACGCACCACCACCAGCAAGGACATGCAACGTATTGTTAATTGTTAAGACTCCCTGGATTTTGGCTCCCTCTCAGTGTAGAAATGAAAGCGTGACTATTGTACGTATGGGGAGGGGGATGAGCTCCATTTTCAAGTTGGGAAGGAGTGACGAGGTTACAAACGATTTTGGCTAATCATTTACAGCCATAAATGGTGCCTGGCTATTCATAGATGAATGGGGGCAGCTGGTGGTGCCTATTTGGTGATATCTTTTATTATCATTTTATTCCAGCAAATTCAAACGATTGTGATAAGACCTGGAATCATTTCCAACATTGTGATAATAAAGTTGCCCTCTCCCTATGCCCGATGCACTCATCAAGAACGTGCTACTGTGCACACGTTCTTGATATCGTCAGTAAGGCCAGCTACGAGTTTTGCACGACTTTTAGATTAAAAACCCGCTGACCTCAACCAGAGCATAATCACTAGTACAGTGTATACGCTCTAGTGAATGCCCGGCTGTAAATCATGAATAACCATATACATTTCTTCTTTTGTTTTTGTTTGTGTTTTTGTTTGTTTTGGTTCTCTTTTTATAGTGATTATTAATCATGCAGCGATGGGAATTTGTTACCCACATCAAGAAAAAACAGGGAAGGGACATTGAACAAGTCTAGCTTATTCCAAGGTTGATGACCTTACATGTATGTGTTGACCACTTCAGTCACAAGCATTTTTTTTAAAGTTGGCCAATGCAACTTTTCGAACCCCCATCCTGCACACGTACAGTTCAAAGCTCTAAATGGACAGAGGCAGGACTTATCAGGAAAAGTTGTAGGACGAGAACAGCCGGTAGGTGAGTCTTCATTTTTCATGCACATGTACCGTAATCACATCCAGTCTGGTTTGGTGTTTCAAATTTGAACTTCACACTTCATTTGCAGTAAATTACCCGGAAATTCTCCACAGGAGTTTGCGTTCAGTTACGTGCTGAATAAAATGATAACCGCAGGTCAGCTTCATGATCGTGTGCTAACATTAGCGTTCTCGGAACCTGTTCAAATTAATACCGGACATAAGAATCAACCAATGTATATTATTTTGTTTCCTGGTTTCGGAAAGGCTTTACAATGTATGTTTTAGCCTGCAATTATGTGTATTAAATAGAGGGATCCAATAGGAAATTCGACTGACAGGTTCATGAACAAACTGGCCTCCATATCATCAAATTCAACATTGGCACAGCATGAGACGTAAACTAATAACTATAATAAATAGACCTAATTATGATTTCAGATCATACAATTCAGTTTCGAGAGTAAAATAACGAACTTGTAACCAGTCATTTTACGCAAAGAACATATAGGCAAAGATTTCCGGAATTCCCAAGTGTTTATTTTTGGACGGGGATTCCCCCGACATCATCAAGCGCATATATCGGGGATCCCCGAGAGATGATCGCTTACATTTTATTACCAATGTTTACGAATTGCATTGTACTGAAGTATAACAGTAAAAAATTGAAGGATAAACGGCACCGTGACAAAACAGTTGCGCTAATCTGAGCCAGAGAGTAGCGGATGAGTGCTGACCATTAAAAGACAGTCTCACGAGATTTGATAGGCCGCAGGATTTTGGGTAGGAGATTCCCACTCACTACTATGTACACAGGAAGCACTATCTACAGATATCTCATGTTTTTGAGATTACATGCCTCAGCCTTTACAGAAACAGCACATTTGAAATATTTGGAACATTATGTGCTCCATTCGTGCTGAGTAGCAGTTTCATTAGTAGGTCTACCCTCAAAACAGTGTTGTCTCTCTGAGTTATGGCTGGCTGACACCGAAAGGTGATGAGGTGGGGGAGGAGTTGGGATGTGAAGGTGGGGTAATTAAGAGGTGGAAGTGGGGTGGGCTGGGATTTAGATGGGATTGGCTCATCCCTCCGTCAACAGTTTGTGCGGGGGAATTTGGTTCTACGTTCACACGCAAAACCTGTAATGTTACTCATGTCATAAATACTTTCTCGCTACTAAATTTCTGATGATCCCAATGGCTCTTTTCTTTGCTTACTTTGTTTGTATTGTTTTATTCATTTCCTGAAAAAGAGTTTGGATAAACAAGGAGATACTTTAGCAGAAATGATGGCAGGTGTCAAGATGGATGATGTCGATGAACCGCAAAGAGATGTCAGGGCAAATCAAGGTGAACAGGTTATCAATTTGATCATTGGAAAAAGATTTTCTATGACGAACAATTCACAGTGGCTCTGTCTTTTGACTCCTTGAAGCATATCCAGCATTGATTTTAAGAATCAAAGCTGTTAGTGCGCAGTTAATTTCCTTCTTTTTATTCAGTGTATTTATCGCTTTTTATTTACACATGCAGTTATACGTTTTCTGGGCTATTTTTAAAAACAATTGTTCAAGTTCATGATTTCCAATATTCAAATTCGTCACAGACGAATTTCGCGTACTACTGGAAAGCCCTTTACCAAAGTATATTAATCCTGTTTGTTAAATTAAACATTGGATATGCACGTTCACTTCACTGGACGAATCCGCCTCGAAAAGAAGCACACCTCATCGATTGAAACGAGGTTTCATCAAGATTTCAGTTACATGTAGTTAAAAAGATAAACTAGCAATTGATGACATCTTTCATCACATTTGGATTGTTTTTGGGATATCTGCTTTCAGTCCTGAGTGACAAGACTTTGCGCAAAATTTCCGAAAGACTCGGCTCTGATTGGCAAAAGTTGGCTTCCTTCCTGGGCTTTACTGCGCCTGAGATCTCCAACTTCAAGACCGACAGTCAAGGCCAGACAGAGATTCAGATCTTCAATATGCTCGTAAAATGGAGACAGCGGCAGTCATCGAGAAGTGACCAATCCAGAACGCTGGGCAAGGAGTTGCAAGAAATCAGGAGACTTGATATTATCCAGCAGTTCAATCTGTTGCCAGGTACACAGGACGAGGTTGCTGATAATAAATCGCAATGAACACTCCAAGAAGCGCTTTAACAGATTTCCAACCTCCTAATTAGTACACGTAGCTTCATCCCTGGGTCCTTACACTCGTTAATCTCCTGCACAAACGCCATCGAAGCCCCGCAAGGTATTCTGGGTGGTTCTATCTGACTCCTCAGACGGGTATAAACTTATTTTCATGCCTGTCCCGGTGGGCGAAACGACTGAATCAGGGTTACTGACCAAATGAATTTAATGCACTTGGCACTGTTAAAGGTTGGGCGATACACTGGCGGCCTTAGATGGGGAAGCCGGTCCATGCAGTAAATAGAATGTTTTCCAAACGAAAATGCAGATGTCTGAATTGCAGTTGAAGAAAAAAATTGACATTAAGGATTCAGTGTACATTGTATTTCAGACTTAGAAAGTCATACCAAAGATAGTGACAGTGGTGCTGCAAAAGTCATCAATGAGCCACGGCTCTCTGAGTGCGACGAAGACATTTTGGAAACAGACGCGATTTTCACAAAAGGTAAACAAACTCGTGAACTTGTTACGAATTCAAATATAAAATGGCAACACGTCTCTAAGAGAAGGAAGCTACGAAGGAAGACGATGAAGTAGGCCTACTTAAATAGACTTATACAGATTATTGACAGTGAAAATAGTTACCATTCGGCAACAAACGGTTATGCTGCACAAACATAAAGACCTTGCCTTATAAAATACCGAATATTTTATTCATGGAAATACAGAAAATAAATGAATGGTATTTTTGGCAAGAGACCAGTGTGTAGGTGAAGCAAAGGACGCTGGACTGGTTTCCACTCCATCTATCTGGACATTGATGCAGATTACAATGGAGGAACAGGGACCAAACACCGATAAAACTGTTAATGTGAACTGGCCTTACCCTGGGGTAAACGCGGAACAGTTTGAATTCTATTTGATGACTTTATAGTTACCTACATGTATTATCCCATTTTGATTCCTCCCATTGATTTTTTCCTTTATTGCAAACGGACTCTGCTTACTTTAGAGGTTTCTTGTGATAACCCAAAACTTGCTTAGTGAAAACATGTTGTAAGAAAACTTTCCTCACTTGAACCGAATCCAAAATTGAATCATCTCAGTAAGAAAAAACAATTCCAACGTGAAAGAGCATAGATTGGTTTAACGCTTAGGTTTTATGCCTTTGATGACATCACACTTAAAAATCCATTACATGATCCTTTTAACCAGCATTATTTGAAGTGCTTGTTAAACAAATACGTTACAAAGTTGTACAAATACCCACTGCAAGTGTACCTTGATTTAGTTGTATTGAAATCTCAAGACTCGAAAGTCGGTAATTAACTTTAAAGGTTACCAGGGGGTGTGGCAGAAATGATAGGTCTCACGACACTCCCATGAACGAACAATTAGCTTGAAAATTACAACCAAAAGATGTTTTTCCTACACAGATCCAAGTGCAGGCGGCTACAATGAAATCAATGTGTCTGACATCAAAACTGAAACGCAAATTAGTCCCCCAGACAGCCGAAGTAAAGTATACAAGGCTGTTTGGAACTCCCCGTCAGGTCCGGTCGAGGTTGCCGCAAAGTACTGTTTGAATTACAAAGAGGAAGAACTCCTCATTCTGTCCAAGTTGAAACACAGACACATTGTCCGGTTGATGGGAATCGGCAAACTACAGTGTCCACCGGACATGTGTGTTATAGTGACACAATACGCCGAGAAGGGCTCGCTGTACGCTTTTATAGAAAAACATCGAAGCTGTTGGTCGGAGGTCAAAAGGTTTTACTGGTTGAAGTGGGCTCTTGAGGGCGCTCGAGGCCTGGGATACCTCCATTGCATGCATTACCTGCATGGTGACGTTAAGTCGCCCAATTTCGTCATCACGGAGGATGACACGCTGAAGATATGCGACTTCGGATCCGCGCGGAAAATCATTAATACGGTCAGCACCGTCGGTGTCCGGGGTTCCTGGCCCTGGATGGCACCCGAGGCCATGGGAAACCAAGGAGAGTCGTCGATGAAACCCAAGGTCACAGCCAAGTCAGACGTGTTCTCCTTTGCGGTGGTCATTTGGGAACTCCTCACTGGTCAAGTTCCCTTCTCCGGCCTGCAACAGCTTGAGATCTTCGAAACGGTGTATCGGAAAAAGGGTCGCCTTAAGCTCCCAAAAGATTGTCCCAAGCACCTGTGCGACCTCCTGAATCGATGCTGGAACCAGGACTATCAAAAACGACCCGACATGAACGAAGTACAGGTTGCACTGGAAGGTAACATGGGTATGTAAGTTCTTGCTGTATGGCTTCTTAATTCTCTGTCTCATTATGTAGAAGGCGGTTGAGACAGCCATTGATTTAGAGCAAAATGACAACAGACAGACCCTTCAAGAGTGTATAATGCATGTATGCTCCAATAAACGAAAGTTGACCCTGATTCAAGGCCGTCCAAAATTTACAGAAATATCAATTAAAATGTCTTATGCTTGCAAACGATATTATTTGAATGTCCAAAATACTCCATTCGTTTAAGTTCCCCATTAAAACCTTCATTTTTTTTAAGTCGACCTGATTTTAATCTGTGCTTTTATTGTAGTTTGTTAAAGTGACCAACTTTAATATGCACGTACATTTTTCATTAAACCATATTTTCACTTATCTCAGTCTGAGTCGACGTTACCTTTTTACTGTTCAAACTGTTCTTGTACTTTCATTTTTACATGAGGTACGGCGCAGACACTATTTAGTTTGGGTGAGATTCTTGAGTTTCCTCAAATTTCACCTACTTCAAATAGCCCATGTCAATTGTGTCTACCGTACTTCAAATAAGCTAATCTACCATCCCATTCTTCACACAAGTTTTTAAAAAAAGAAAACACAGAATCAATGTCTGAGCACAGTATCTGATCCCTACGGTTATTCCAGGTCAGGAACGATCGCCGGACCAACGATCTGTCAGTTACCAAGCGCCGGCACCAAACAAAGAACCGAGGGTGACTGCCATCTTGAAGCGGTTGGCTAGCTCGTCGAGTGGAGGGTACGCCGACTCGACACCACTGAGTAAGCTTCGCGGTATAGCAATCTCTGAGGACGGTCAGATAGCGGTGACGGATTCGTCCTCCAAGCAAGTGGCAATCTACTATGGAATGGACCTACAAACTGTTGCAAGTACCCTCAAGATAGAAGCAAGTGAGGAATAGCTAGATGTTACAGGAAAAAAGCTTCCTCTTGTATGAGCACCTGCAGACGTTTATCTTCCAACGTCACAGTCATGTTATTTGTCACCAGTTCAAAGGCAAAGCGATTGTTGTGAGAGACCTATTACCTCTGTTCATTATGGGCAGTGTCCAGTTTTTTCTGACTCCAATGATTGTTATAAAACTGACTTTCTAAAATGCCTTCATCATAACTGAGCCTAACTCAGGAAAACTGTTTCGAATCGATATCTTTCGGTAAACATTTTGTTTGTCAAATAAATCTGTTTTCTCTACCTGTTCCCCCAGATGATGTTGCTGCCCTACGTCATTCCTGGGTAGTTGTGCACCCCTACAAGGTTTGTGTGTACAGAATGGAGGATGGCAAGCTTGTCCGTGAGTTTGAAACAGAAGGAGATCGGTCAAAGGTACTGAGCAGCGTCGGGGTAAGAAAATCTGGCAACATTGTAATTGGTGACACCAGGAACTTTATGTTGATTGAGTACAATCCAGCTAAAAACTTTAGACCCGTCCGGTCCATACGCGTAGACTTGGAGCCCCACTACTTGGCAGTCGACAGCCAGGACAGACTCGTGATCAGCGGCTGCTTGCAAGCAAGAGTCGACGTGCGCACCGACTTACGCCGGGCGTTTACCATCCGACCGACAGTCGACGACCGACCCGTGCGAAGCTGCAGTGGCGTGTGCTGTGACGGAACGGGAATTTACCTCGCTGTCGAAGTCGGAGACGTAGGCACGGGTCACATCCTGATCTACAACCAGTTTGGGAAGTACATCCGGAAGGTGTCAACAAATCTGACACGCCCTCGTGGGTTGGCGTTGACAGCTGATGGGAAGAAGCTTGCAGTGGCTGACAACCATGTGGTGAAGACCTTTCAGATTAATAATTCGTGACAGTGTTGTAATTGAGACTATCACAAGACCAGATTGACACGAAAAAATATCAATTCAGGACCAAAACGATACCAACCCAGATCGACATAAGACAAAAAAGACACAAAAACACTAGATCGACACATGACAGACAAGACCTTTCAAGAGATATTAAATTTACATGACAGTGACACATTAGTAATAGGTTAAGAGCGTGACACATGAACATTCAGACCAGAGCGCATTCAAATTGCTTGTGTCTTAAATTCAGACCACAGGTCTTTTATTGTTAATCTTCTGATGGTCTTGTTGGGTTGAGGGGTCTTGTGATGGTTACAATAGGTCTTGGCTTTAGTAGCAAACGCGACCACAAAACAAAACAAAATTTGAAAGAATTAAGAAGATTGATGTGGTTCTGAGTTTATCTGTAAATATAAAAAAAAATCAATTCATTGGGAACACTTCTAGTCGAAATCTGAAAAAATAGCATGCTCTTTGTGATATTTTAAGCTATTTATTTGAATTCCAGATAATGTTTTCAACTCTTGTCCACTCGTCCCCATCGCCTTTTCCGGGCGCAGGGAAGGAAAACTATTTCTTATGCAAGAGCAATTTTTGGTCCAGCACTTATAATTTATGTATAGTATTCATTTTAACAGAGCAGGGTATCAGTGCGCGTGACATGTACGCACGGAATAAATATGTATGGTAAGGGCAGTAAGTCACCAACAATACTTTGTGTTTCTGTCACTGTGACTTTTTGCTTCTCTCACTTCTAACCGTGATAAGCAATAATTTTGCCCTTCCCAACGTCCTATGACGCAGTGGGAACGAGTGAGTCAATTCTTCTCTGGGGCGCTGTTGGGGAGTCAAAGAGTTATGCCGAGCTGTTTCTTCCATGTGTAGAAAACCTCTTTAATTATATTCTTCCGCCAATTAATTTGGTTATTTCTATTCAGAGCAAATGGGCCCCGAGCCTTAAATTGTGGTCATTGTCAATAGCTATCAATGTGATTGTTGAAGTGTAAACATCGCGCCGGTTTTCCAAGTCCAGACATCATTCTAGCGATTGATGACTGTAGGTAGGTTTTGTTGTCTTTAACAAGCAAGAAACCTCAATATATTGTTCGTAGTCATGGAGTACTGTTCATTTCAACATGCAAAGTCACACTGTATCACAGATTTTCTTTTAGATAAAGACTGGTTTCTATTTTGTAACTATTGACACTTTATCAAGTTTTAAATTGGGGTACAGAGACAGTTCACTATCAACGGGATATTGTGATTTTTCACGCGCAGTTTGCAGCAAAAATGTACGCTCTTATGAAAAGCAGACGTTGTGACTCCTGTAACTTGTAATAAGAAGAACAATCAGAGAATGACAGATGCCTTATTCAAATGCTCTTTGGTGGTTTGTTGAGTGCGGTTGGTTTACTTTGTTTCACTTGGCGTGTCTTTTAACCAGTGTGGGCATTTTCAGACCATCTCCCGAGGTAGGGGTACGTGCCCCCCAAAAGTCGATTGTTACATTCCTGGTTCATTCCGAACGTTTTCATGCTTATTAAAAATTAATTAGTTCAAGAAAGTCCTTTATTTCACTTTTTGGTGGGATTTGTAATTTTCGTTTTGTTTTTTAAAGAAGTGTTTGTATGTCTAAAATACAGGGCCCTGAAGAAAACCAGCTTAGACTGTTTGGGCTGCCCCGGATAAGCAAAAAAATGAATAAATAAAAATAAATCTGTGAAATTTCAATTCAATAAGACATACGTGATGCAAGCAAAGTTAAGAAAATGAGTCTTTTGTTGAGAGGTTGTTTTCCTACGGAAAAGTAGTTCTTTCCTCGCCTTCCACCTCTGTGGTCCCGGGTTCGATTCCCGGCCCGGTCCACATATGGATTGGGTTTTCAGTCGCAACCTGACTCTGTGGGTTTTACCCAGAATATTCCTCTGGGGTTTTCCTCCCACCTCTAAAACTGTAACTGCTCCTTACTTGTCTCCCTGTTACTGATATTGGTGAACGTGAGTCGTTTGGCGGCTGCCCGAGGCGCCCTTGTATGCCATCGGCTCAACCATGTGTAAATGTATTCATTGTTCCAAGCTTAATGTCTTCATTGTAAAGCGCATTTGAACATGTCTATATGAAATTTGTGCTTTATAAATGAATAAATTATTGTTATTCCTGTAAATAGCAAATCAAATCTTTTGGTGTTTCGACGTCCATGCATCTAATCACCCAAAGATATGTGTAGACATTTCGAGAGCAGTAAAACGCACGAGCAAAGTTTGCCCCATCATCGGGGTCATACCCCAGAGCTAAATCATTGATCCCCATAAAATGAAGATCAGTGAGCTAAATTAAGTAACTGCAGCTGTAACTTCTCATTATTCGCAAGGAGAAAATTCGATTTCACCGACACATTGTTCAAAAATACAGACGCAGATGCAAATAGTCCTACAAAATCCGTACAAATTTTCCAGTTTTCCGTGGGTTTGTGCACAAACATGAATGCGCCCAGCAGGTATCAGTCTGTACCGGAGTCAGTGCTCTAGTCAAAGCTGGTTCACCGCCACAAAGAAGACGTTCAGCCGCATCACTGCATATACGACCAGCACAAGACCGACACAAGACCTCCAGTCTGAATTCAAGTCACAAGCTATTCAAATGAACTGCAACAAAAGCATTCCTTAGTTAATTTCACACTGTTTCTTGTGACTGGTCTGGCGTCTGGTCTTGTGTCTGCATAGTCTTGTGATGGTCTCAACTACAACACTGATGTACCGCTGTTTGAAAGTCTTCTTGCTGTAACTTGCAAAGTTGAAATGTCGATATAAATAGTCGGTCTTGATCTGATTGTTTCCTCCAGTGATGCTCAGATAGAATAGCACCACGCACGGTAGGAAGAGGACAGCTGCATGTGCAGAGGTCATTGTGGGCAAAATAAAAATATAGACTGGTACACATTGGCCTCCGTCGTCATCGATGAGTTTAGGCTAAATCCCACTCAGTTTGTGAATCACTGTGACCCCCACAAATACTGATCGCCCCCGAACTTTGGTAACTGCGTTTACATTCAATGCCCACGATGGACAAGCACAGTGATGAATTATCACCTAGACCAAGTTCTGTACAAGCAGTGTGTTACCTAATGGTTCCACTAAAAATAAAAATGATAAAACTGGTTATTTCCTTGGTTATTTCTATGTATAAGTATTTATTACAGTATATTAAGGGTGCAAACATAGACGGTCAAATAGGGAAATGTACGATCAACTGTCTGCAAAATACATAGAAAGAAATAACCAATAAATTGCATGAATTGCATAAATTGTTTCCTAGTTATTATACAGTAAATGTTTCACAATGATTCAAGATGGCTGACTGATAAATGTATTTCACTCAAATATAATAAACAAATACAAACAATCATCTGTTGGTATAAAATAAGCAGAATAACTCAAGACGATAATTAAGACGAGTGAATAATGCTCACGACAAACAGAACATACGACTAGGATCATTTGGTTGAAATTGTGGCATTACAATATTGCATACAATCAAAGTACGTGTTCGTATATACTTACTCAATAGAAAGATCATAACTCACCACTTAAACTGCTTGTTAATGCCTCCAAGTCCAAGTGCAATCGTCAAAAATGCAGTAGAAAATGTGAAAATATAAATGTAACTGTTTCTTACTGCATCAGAAAGCCGAAACAAAAATAAGTTAAGCTTTATCGGCAGAGGCAGGCAAGGGTCATAATCAAGTAACTGCTTGCGTTGTTCCTATGCATCGAAATCAACCAATGACGCATTTTTTATTCCACAGGAAAACGTTGGAAAACCCCTAAAGAATGTCCAGGACGCAAATTCAACAAAAAGGGTGCAAGTGAACTCTAAATCCAACAAAAGAGTAGCTTGCAAAATATTCCTAATTCGGCGCGTAAAACCGAGGCGGGGCTGCAACAACCAAAAACCCCTGTATGGCCGCAAATGGGCGTTAGTCAAATAGCATTGTTTTTATGCATGCAGCGCACAGGTCACGTAGCTAGTAACACACAAGAAACTGCGAGAATGTCTAAACAGTGCCTGAATGGGACAGACCAAAGTAAAGGAACCAGCCTGTTGGGTGAGAGTTGGACAAGACCTGGTTACGAATGCATAGCCGCAGTGTGATGGAATTCGACAGAAATCAAATCGTAGGTCAAAACAGCGGTTCAATGTCGCGGTCTGGCTTCACGACCAACCAACTGCTTTTAGCCCGGATACTCAGTCATCTGCCAGGCATGGCTCTCAATAATTAAAAGGCCATCTATTTGGTTAGAACCAAACTTGGGGGATTAAAGAATTTCTCTTAATCAGTTCTACAAACCAAGTTCATCAGCTAGAGTTATTGGCACTGTGTCCAACCCTTCTCCGCTAACAGTATAAATTGTGGATTTTCCAAAGCACAACAAACCAAAGAAAGAAATTGATCCTGCAGATTGCTGACGTTTTGCTCTTTTTCTGGTTTAATTCTTAACGGTTGAAGCCGAAAAGTCATTGAAAGTACTGGACCCAAAATGAAATGTAACAAATACAAACAAACCAAATCTGTATGTATTCGACCAAACTTTCTTTTATTAAAAAGAAGCAAGTCTAAGAGAATGTCTAAAAACTGTAAATGCAATGCCCTTTAAACCTAAACAGTCACCAATAAAATCTCCCCTAAATCTCTTGAATTTTAATTTTTAGTGATAAAAAAAAATCTACATGAGCAACTCTTATTGACTATTTCCATCTGCGAATAAAGTAAATTCAACTTTTATTGTATCACTTATATTTATATTTACAAGAACACTGTGATTTCCATTATTCTGTCATTAAAAAGTGTATTCAATTCACACCTTCTTCTACCACCGTATTTATCTCGTTTCACGCACTGCATAAAATAAGTGTAAAGAAAATGTTGTGAATAGAGTTCAAGAAAGCTTCCACTAATTGAAACGATAATATTTGCCATGCTCATTAGGATGAAAAATGCCCCTAGCCTAGTTCCTTTTGAGAAAGGGGACTCATTGGACCTGTAATGGTGAGATCGAGTAAATCCTTTCTCCCTGGTTCTCTGGGCTTCCATCTTGGAGCAGAATAGAAAAACCATACTGTTGGAAAATGGTCCTATGTGGCCGAGAAAGTAAAAGGATGAACTTTGAAAATAGCTCCATGCAGCCTTTTGAAATATCACTCTCGTGTGGTGATTTTGTTTTATTGTGTGTGAATGATTGAAATATAATTGATGAACCCTCCAAAATGGAACGAATTGAGAGATACGGGACAAAACAGTTTGATTTTTATTTCAGAACCCCCAAGGATGTTGGTATGCCTATTATTGAGCCTTGAATAATGCTGTTTTATACTGTTTGCAATTGGTGGACTGCACCCATAACCGCGTTGTAAACATGACCAGCAAAAGGTGAAGCGAATAACCTTATACAGGCTGAACACAAGAGAGGGCTATTTACACTGTCTACGTAAGTAATCGGAACTGACAATGAGCCATCTTACTTTTTAATTGGAAATAAGACAGCTAGTTTAATAATATCAATTTATTGTTACTGTTAATGTGAAAGATTATGACCGTGACATCAAGCTAAGAAAATTTTAATGTAGAATTATTGAGACTATACAGGTTGCTTATCACGATTAATTCCATGAAAAGGAAAAAATACAGAGCTGTTTAAGAAATGAACAATAACTACGTGTTACAATTAGTGGGTGACGTCTGTTTGGCTCCGTGTTAACCTCCTGGCAGGAAACCATGTTAGCGTGTACTGCCATGCTCTGGCAAATAGGAATGCAGATTCGTTGCGATAGAATTATTGAAGTCAGCGTGTAGTGTAATGGCTAGCCAGGAGAGTAGAGTTGAACTGAATTTGATTCCGACCTGTTGTGTGCCAGTATAGAGCGCTGTGTCTTAATTCTTCAATGCATTTGCAATCGGGTTAAAACCATGCAGTACTTAAAGAAAGATGTATTTTATAGATCTCTTGTAGGTCTAAGGTGATCCCAACGCTGGTTCGCTCCACCCCTTTTACGCTGGTTCTGGTGTCATGTGAACCAGCGCCAGATCACTGATAAGATCTGGATCTGCGTGAATCACAGGCCAGTCTCTGGTGTACGGGGTTAGTTAACTATACATATCAATGAACCGTGTACAGAAGCAGAAATGGCCATCCATGTCATCGCGTTATCGGGTTAATTTATCGTTAAATCATGGATGGTCATGTAAGCTTCCGTAATGAACGCATGACCACAGGCATTTGGCACGACCCCATGCGTTGACTACATGTTAGTTGTTGACTCCACGGTGGTCCCCATGTTAGTAGACAGCACTAGCGCATCACCGCTGGTCTTTCCTCCACCGGCACATGAGCGGTTACCGCAGATTTCTGGGATACGCCACCAGTAGATGAACGGATTGACTGCCGAGTTCACCATCAGCCAGGCTAAAGTGTAGATAAATATGATCCGGAAGAGCTCCGTTTGGCCGTACCAATCTTTGCCGCTGAAGTACATCATGAACTGACAGATGCAGTACGGGATCCAACACAGGAAGGACATGATCAGGATGATGGAGAAGGTCATCATGAGACTTCTGGTTTGTGTAATGCGGGTCTGGGTCTGGTCATTGTCTTTGTTAGTCGTTGGCGATGCTTCAGCAGAACGGTAAGCGGCGAGTTTGCAGAAGACTATACAGTAGAGGGCTAGCGTTAGCACCAGGATAGCCAGCGCAACCAGTGGTCGGATGAAACGGGTAACAACAGGCAAATTGACGGCATATGTCGTAGGGATATAGATGGCCGCAGACACCACCCAGAAGAGAATACAGACCACAAACATGCGAAACGGTGTGACCATTGCGTCGTAGCGGGCCGGGGGTAGGATGGAGAGCGCCATCAAGCGGTTGACCGCTACCGCCAAAACATTCAGCTCCGTGACAAAGAACGAGGTGCGGAAGAGAGCTGAGGCTAGGGGGCTGTACTGCGTAATAAACACGATAGCCAGTGTGGCGTGGGCGATGTCAGTGAGCACGAGGTTAAAGAGGAAGCCATAATACTTCACTCGAAGGTGCTTCTTAATGGCAAAGATAACGACTACCATGAGATTGCAGGCTAAAGCTACGCCACTGACTATTTGAACGGCATTTCTGGCTCTCTGTAATCCGTAACTCTCCATTCTGGTATCTACGCAAATCGTCTATCAAAAACACAGAAATGATTAGAGCTAATTAATATTTCTTGACTAATAGAGTATCAAGCATCCTGCATTTGAGGCGTCTAGTAAATTGTTTATTCCAAAAATATGTATTTTTGCAACCAAAGAATGTACCAAACGGCCGATAAGGAGCATCGTGTACTTGTGATATTAGTGGCACAGATGAGGGAAGAAACTGGACCGATGCTAAGGGTACTGAAATCGGCGCTGTGACAAGTTTCAAGTGCCCATTTTGAATAGGGCCTAGCACAATTCCACCTGTGGTGTGAAGGCCTAATGCTTTTACCTTTTCAACACATGCCGGGTTTGACACTATTGGATTTCTTTTTATGCGATTACCTGCAGAACAAAAATTTCACTACACCCCCAGCCAATTAATGTTCAGGAGTTACGTGCAAGAATAATGGATCAAGTCAATAATCTCAATCAAGACCCTGAAATTATCAGGCGAGCAGTAGGGGACATGTTACGAAGATGTCAGATGTGCTTTGACAGGAATAGTGGCCATGTGGAGGACATAGCACATTAGCGAAAACAAAACAGAATAGATTGATTTAGGTACAACCCTTGTTTTCAAAAATGTGTTCTTAACGCAAAGGTTTATATTCTGCACACTTGCAGGGTGAGCCTTGTTAATCAAATCTGCAACCTTGTCACAGGGCCTATTTCAGTGCCCTTGGGCGTATTTGAAACCCCATTCTCATGGGGCTTACGAACAGTGTTCTTGGGTCGTTGATTACTGACGCCGAAATGCAAAAGGAGTGCAGCTGCGCTGAAAGTCAAGATAGCAGTCGCCGTTTTGACACCTATGAAAAGACTGCATGACATTTACCATCTCGCATTAAATAAAATCCCCAAATATCTCCGATATCCATGAGTATTTGCCCTGGGTTTTATTTTCCTTATTGTGAGTGTTTTCTATTTTATGTAACAAAGCCAACATTAAGTTGCAGTATGTGCCTATATCTGCCATCTTTGTTCTTGATGTTCTCCATCTACTCCCAGAAAGTGGGGAGTGAGAATCTTGTTCGCGAACAGTGTTCGTGTGTTGATTCTCCCCGTTTGAAATGTCGTTCTCGTGTTGGTCTAACACGAGCTAGAACGGGGTTTCGAATACGCCTCTTAACATCGGTCTTGTTTGTTCACTTATCTTTGTCAGTAACATCACAAGCTGTAAGCCATTGCAAAGAGGACATTGTGCCCTGTCTGTAGATATGATTCCGTTGCCCATATATAGAGTCGTTTTGCCGTTACAGCAATTTTCATCTCGGTACACTTTTTATGTGGACATCCCTTACCTCTGATTGTCGAGTTACTTTAGTAGTAGTTTCCGTACGCAGGAAAGACCCAAGAGGGCTTAAGCATATCAGTACCTTGTCTTGCTTTTTACCGCTAGAAGCGGTGCAAGCGGAGACACTCCAGGGCTTCGCCCCACCCTGTGAGTCTCATTTATTTCAAAAACGAAGTGACAATAGACCTACCCGCCTTTACTGTTAGCTTTAATATCAGTCCCTACCTAGCTATTGATATCAGCGATGATTGATGGATTTTGCACTATAAATGAGCATAATGTAACAAAAGCTGTTATCTTCAAGACTCATTCTACGACTATCCTGGGTGCGTCGCTGATCGCTGTAGTTATTGCAGCTGTACTGCAGCACATACAATCTACTCCCCCACAGGTACAATAATGTCAGCATTGTTTTGTAGGATTCAGCACCCTGCGTGCTCAGATTAGAAAGTCAATAAAACCGATTTGGGGAAGGCACAGACCTATATACCGAAAAAAGTTGATTGTTTCATTAATTGCAAAAATCAAAGACAGAAACTCACTTTACTTCTTCACTGGTGTATGTTGTTCCACACCTGCACGTTTCAGTTTCTTTGCCAAGGGGTCTCTGCCAGATTCTGGAAACGCCTGAAGCACAGGTAGTTCTTTTATAGTGACACCATGCCGAGCCTTGGATATGTTAAGTTGATGGAAATTGTATGTTTAATTATAATGCTTATCGTTGTTTTCATGAATAACAAACTAGTTCACTGCTTAATAAGCAATGGCCTCTTACAAAGTTCTGCTGGTAGGCAACGTCTTACAACGAGAGTGGTAGTTGTTCCCTGTCTCATAACATTATATTGAAACTCCGAAGCAAAGTAGGGAGCCAGTCGAAAATCCAATAACAGTCAATGTACTAAGTTGGACGTTTTGATTCCAGCAGAGGTCTATGTATATTTATGATGTTCCTCAGAAATAGCAGCTCATGTATTAATTGACATCCAGTAAAAGTGCGAGCAACGTCGTACGAACTCCTTCGGCAGTCCTATGCATTTTTTAAGAGCATCAAGATCAATGAAAAGAATTCATTTATCATAAAAAAACTAGTGCAGGATTATGGTACACACAAGCTCCGAAACGAAAGACTGTCGAATATGTGCCTTGGAACTCTGAACAAGATGAATGTCCTGGTGGTGGCGCTCTCTCTCCTGCCCTGTCCCACTAGAAACTCTGTTGAAATGTCATGGACGTTGCTTATTTCCTCTTCTGGGTGGTCAAGCACCCAAACAAAACATTTGTGGCTATCTCGGCTAAAAAGATCCTCCACATTAGTGACAAAAACACTTTTCACACACCAAGAAGAGCAAATCAAAGTAATAAGATATGTATCCACCAAAAATTATGAAAAACAACCCCTCGTATTTACCAGTACTTGAGTTAAATTAGCAAATCCTCATATAATTCTTTATAACAACATTCAGTTCCAGAGAGCAACGACTACAACGCAAAGGCCTCTCCCACACCAAACACAAAATATTTTCCACATGCAAAATTAGTATTTCTAAAGAAAAATACCAAATACCAAAAATTTTCAATTCAAAGTAGAGCTGACTGGAGGCAAAACTCAAGAGCTTTCCAAGATTTGAGTGAAGGGCGGGAGTCTAATCATCTACCAGCGTTAGGTTTGTCTTTTAGCACTCTCATGAGCCATGCAAAAGGGTATCACTTGGCCTGTTCGACGACTGTTTCCATACTGATAGATGCCTCTGCGGAAACGGCCGACGGCTTAGTGCGCCAGCAGCATATCATCCCGTACAAGGCTTCACGGAACTCAGCGAGACGCCACCAGTAAATAAAGGGGTTGATGGCCGAGTAACTGATGGCAAAGAGGGCGCTGAAGCGGAAATACACCAAGAACCCATTGCCCAAATCAAGAGCGTTTCCGCTGCTGCTGAAATACATCATGAAAGAGGCAACAGCGGCCGGGAGCCAGCACAGACATGACACAGCCAGGATGAGTGTGAAAGTGATCATAAGATGCCGTGTTTGACGAATACGGGTGCCAGTTTGTTCATCTTTCTCAGAGATACCTGAGGTAGAGGCCAGTGGTGGTCGATAGCTAGCAATCTTGCGAAAGACAACCAAGTACAGAATTGCAGCCACTGTCAGAATCACAAGACCGATTAGCGGTTGTATGAAGCGAATGGTAAGTGGGGAGCCTGTGTATGTCAATGGTAAATAAATCAGAGCGGAAACCACCCACATCAGGACGTAAACCACCACCATGCGACCAAGCGTAACCATGGTATCATAGCGAGCGGGCGGAGTGATCATCAAAGCCAGGAGCCGGTTCACTGCCACAAAGAGGACGTTCAACCGCAACACTGTATGCGAGATTTCAAGCAGTGCTCTCAGGAAAACACCTCCGATGATGATTAACAGAATAAGGGCTGCCGCCGAAACAGCATCTGTGAGTGCCAATGTGAAGACGAAGAAGTAGTACTTGATGCGTAGTTGCTTGCTGGCCAAAAAGACGACTATCACCACGAGATTGAAAAGTAGAGCTACGCCAACGACTGTATACCCAGCAATGGTAAGTGCGTACAGTGTCTCTCGAACCATGACTAGTTCTGGTGCGTGGATTTGCATGAACCGAAGACACGGATAAAACTGTAATAAAGGACAAAATACTGAGTGACGATGACATTGAAACACTATAGCTTGACAATTTTTCCTGTCGTAAGTTCTGACTTTTATTCTTGCTCGATAAGATTGTATTTCCCAACGGTAAAACGATACAACGTGCCATAAATACGTTGAAACTTCCATTCACATAATTTGGGGGGGGGCTCTGTCGGTTATTGACCTCTTGGTTACATTTAAAGAAGCAACAAAACATTTTTGGGAGCTTCCATCTAAGAAGCTTGCTTTCATTTAATGAAGCTCCCAGACAATTCCTTCGACTGCTGCGCAGCCAAATACGAGTATTTCGTCTTACGCCTGATGCGTTATTAGTTCGATATAATGCCATCATAAACGTTTATTCATAAATACCTGGGATAGGTTTTCTTTTCCTATAGGTCAAAACACGTCATGTGACCACGTATTAACGTTTGATAAAACGCACCTGGATAAGAGACAGTTTGAGGTTCCGATTAATCAAGAGTCTATGCGCACATAGCACGCAGAACTCGCCATGCGCACGCCAAGTCCATATAAGGAGATCTTTTGGACCACTTGCACAAGGAATTTGCCATCAAATGAACGGGGGTGTTTAGGTAAATGAATTTAACATTTGTGGACAAAATCCTTGGAAATTTATCGCATACTGATTTCCGTTGACTCTGTCTAAAATGATGTTTTGTTTGGGAATATAATATGCGCTCGATTGGTTAGGCGAATGAACGCTGTTAATGCCCTAGCCTGCCATTCGAACATATTAAGTGGCATCTATTCTAGATAGGCCAAGTACTCATTCGTACCCTGAAAGGGCCAGGTTATTTTGACCCATATCACAGCCGGGGGGCAGATTCTGCCCCAAAAGAACTTACTTCTGCGAAATCTAATTGTTTCAAACATTGCATGCAGATACAGACACTCTTTATAATACAGCCGTTTCACAATAGTGCGCCACCAAGAGTTTGCAACGCGTTGTCCAATCACAATGCGCGAAATTTGTCAACCCAACTGCGCATTTGGAAAGGGTCGACAAATTTTGCGCGTTATGATTAGCCAACGTGTTGCAAACTCTTGGTGGCGCGCTATTGTGAATCGCCCGTATTACAAATGTAAGGTTTGAGCTTAATCAGACATAGGGTTTTGTTGTTAAGGTCATTCAAAGTTCATAGCCAATCAGCCCGGAGAGCCCCTCGACAGGAATCTTTTTCTTTTGAACAATCCATGGGGGGCTGGATGGGTTTGGTCCTTTGCTCCACCATGTACATTTATGTTTTACTGTCTGTTTTGTTCATCTGTGTTTCCCGAGAAATTGAATAAATAAACATAAATAAAAAATATGTGCCAGTGCGCGTGCACTAAGCACCAAAATGGAAAAGGTATACATGTTCGGATGATCCGTCTGGGGAAAATGCACGCTGCGCGGGAAGAGTACGTGGATATTTTGCAAAAATGGTGTTAAGTAACTCTAAAGAGTTACTCTAAAACTCTTAAAGGCTCAGTTTCTGAAAAAGATACTGCGGCCATATCGCAAAAAGGTTGAGAGGGACGGATTCTGCCCCGGCTCTATTAGAGTTAAGAACATCTGCAACGTGTAACACTGATTTTGAACTGTCAAAATCAAACATATACATGTATGTTTGAACGCATGGCTCTTTAAACCATTAAGGGCAATATGCATTTTTCCTTGCCGGTGTATGTATCAAATAACATAAACTGGAAATTAGCTGATCCTTTGATAGCAACTGGCATTGCTACGTCAAGGGATGATCAAGATATCTACCGAGCATTACATTCAGCTTCTAGACATTCTTCATGACATTGTACATATATTCTGACGTTCGCGGGCATTGATACACCAAAATGAATTTAATGCCTACATCAGCGAGAATCACGTGCATTGTTTCGTGAATACAGCCTTGGGTTTGTTTAATTGAAGGTTTCCCCTTTTACATGTTGTTCGGTATTTTACAAAGAGTCGTGTATACTAAATGAACAGCATGCAGTTAGCAAACAAGGCGAAGCCCATGTTGCCAAATGCTCCTTCGTATCGGTTGTACACAAGTCCCAGACCTCGTCACAAAGGTTACTATTGCTTTGTTATACCACACTAAATGCATTTTACAAACGCAAGAAAACGAAGTGAAATGGATTCTACAGTGCCATAATGTTTTCCGCTGCATGGAAATTGTCTTCACCAGCAGTGTTCAGTCGACGAAAAATTCCACAAAATCGAATAATTGGTAGCCAGGAGTACCTTTTTTAGTCTCGACACTTCCGACGAAATTTTTCAGAGTGCTACCTAATTTTGTTGATAGTAACATCTGAGACGACAGGGTTTCTTCCGTCATGCCTGTCATTGTGCAATGTCCAGCACCATCATCTTTGCACATGCTGTCATACACAAAAAAATATTTTTTTCGTGTTGTTTTTGGAACGAGAGAAAATCCTTTCATTAGACATTTTTGTAGAGTTTTGAACGCCATTTGTTGGAGGGCCGGGGTGGTTAAACGACGTCACACAGCGTTTTTTCCCTGTTGCGTGTTTTTCGTGGTCATTACGACCAAATGGAATATAGGCCAAAGTGTACATTGTAAGAGGCCTGAGATTGGAAAAAGTCACTAGGCCTATAGGTTTTGAATAAAATGAGTGACTGGAACCTGGACTTGATGCAGCCCCATGTGCTCTGAAAAAAATAAATTAAACATATTGGAAGAATGTATACAAAGCTAGTCAGTGGTACTTACTCTTTTTGTGCACTGCAGGTTTTGGCTTCAGACTGCAACGTTTCACTTCCTCCGCCCTAATGTTCGTCGACACTGTGAAACACAGGTAGTCTTTTTATAACGGTACTGATTGCGAGTGGGGTCGTGGACGTATTAAGTTAAGTTGATTAAAATCATATACCCAATCGACAGTAATTACTATTCTCATGCACTAAATTATTCATTCCATAAGTTCGATGCATAACCAATGACTTTTTAACGAAGTTCTGCTGGTACATGCTGTATGAGAAGTTGCTCGGGTTGTGCGCATGCTCAGCCTAATGAAACTAACGGCTTGTTAGAGTGTCTGTGATTATACTTAAAACCTCAAAGCCAGGTAGTTCAGGTTCTTGTCAAAGTTGGTAACTGCTCAGATGGTCGTTTCGGTTGCTGTAGAGCTCTAAAGTAGAAACAGCTGCTGCCCATGGGGTAATATCAAATAAACAGCTGGGCTGGCATTCTTTATCAAGGGCACAATAATTGTGCAGATCAGGGAAGGTCTCTAAATTGTCCGAAAGTTCACAGCCCAACTAACGTTCCTTCATAAACATATCGAATTTGAAAGCAATTTGAACTGTAGCTAGTCCAAACATTTCTCACGACATGCAATACATCTGATGTCGTGTAATTGGGAATGTTCACCAACGTCAGGGGATCACCGTATGCGATGAAAAAAGGTGACATACTGCCACACTTTACGAATATAGAGCGGCGCTAAACTAGAAACTACTGGAGATAACAAGTTCAGTTCAAACACAACAAAAACGTCAATAACTAGGCCTACAGTGTTTCTGTAGTTCATGGACATTTTTGGTCAATTTTGGCATGGTCAAAGATCCACTCCGTTGGCCACCATGACAATGTTAACACGCCTAGAGGTGCAAACCTGAAAATTAAAACACGCATTCACACAAATGTATTTTAAAAAATAACCACTTATTTACCTGTACTTAGATTAACTCCCCCCACATCATTCTGTTTTAACATTTAGCTCCATGGGGGAACAACTACAACGCAAAGACTTCTCCAAAACCCAAAAACCCCCAAAACCAGTATTTTCCACATGCACAATGGACGATTCTTAAAGATAATTACCGAAAGAAAATTAAATTAGAGTTCACTAAAGGCACAATCTCAAAAGACATATTCAAAATGTCATTAAGCAAGATTCTTGCCATCTTGGACGTGCGTTGTTTCTGTAAGTCCTGCATTATCGTAAACCACGCGAAAGGGGCTCACATGGCCTGTTCGATGACTGTTTCCATACTCATAGATGCCTCTGCGGAAATGGCTGTCTGCTCTGAACGCCAGCTGCACATCACGTGGAACAGAGCTTTACGGAATTCGACGAGGCGCCACCAGTAAATGAACGGGTTGATGGTCGAGTAACTGACAGCAATAACCACGCTGATCTGAAAATACACAAGGAACTCATCGTCTACACCACTAGCGCTTCCACTACTGCCAAAGTAAATCATGAAAGACGCTACACCGATCGGAAGCGAGCAAAGGCATGACGTGACCAGGATTAGGGTGAACGTGATCATAAGATGCCGTGTTTGACGCACATGGGTACCAGTTTGTTCATCGTTGTTGGAGATACCCGAGGTAGGGACCACCGTTGGTAGATACCTGGCAATCTTACGAAAGACAGCCACGTAGAAAATTGCAGTCGCTGTCAAAATCACAACACTAATTAATGGTTGGATGAAGCGAATGGTAAATCGGTAATCTGCGTATGTCAGTGGGAAGTTGATCAGAGCAGAAACCACCCACATCAGGACGTAAACCGCCACCATGCGACCAAGCGTTACCATGCTATCGTACCGACCAGGCGGAGTAATACTCAAAGCCATGAGCCGGGTCACTGCCACGAAGAAGAAGTTCAACCTCAACACCGAATATGAGGTGTCCACCAACGCGTTTAGGAAAATTCCCTTGATGGTGTTAAGCAGAATAAAGGCTGCAGCCGAAACGGTATCAGTAAGTGCTAGGGTGAAGACGAAAAAGTAGTACTTGATGCGTAGTTGCTTGCTGGCCAGAAAGACTACCATCACCACGAGATTAAAGAAAATAGCCACGCCAGTGACTGCACACGCAGGAATGTTGAGCTCGTACAGCCTCTCATCAATCATGGCTAGTCTTGGTTCGTGGATGTGTGTCAAAACAGCAAAAGAATCTGTTACAAAAGACACAAACTCAAATGACAAAGATGCCTAAATACTATTTCTTTACAGTATTCCCTGTGACACGACTTTTCATATCTTGCTCTATATGATTGTACACATTTCCCCAAACGCTTAATTAACCTGTCCAAAATAGTGTAAAACGTCCAATTTATACAAGTTGTGTACAAGCAACATCATAGAAGTCTATACCGTACTCTTCAGTATGAACGTCCACCTAAGAATCTTGTTTTGTGTTGAAGAATTTCCCAGACAGTTCATTCGCCGACTACGTAGCCATTGATAAATGCTGAGACGCTATTTTTAGAAGGACGGTTTATCAGGCAATATCCCCAGGCTTTTAGCTGTGCGTTACTATTATCTCAATGCCATGACACCATAAACCTCTACAGAATCGAAGTAAACTTTGATCATCGTGACGTTCTTTCAGAACTTCTGAAACAAATATGTTGAACTGACAGTAGAAGTGTTTGTTTGAATACAAGGTTCTATAATGGAATGGTGTCGATATGCACTGCCCGTGCTATCATCTGTAACAAATAGCTTCAATCCAAATAAGCTTGTTCAAGTCATAATTCTTACATGTCATCGTTTAGGAAGAAAAAACAATGCAACACGGAAAGGGCGTAAGACAGCACGCCGGACGGGCAGCGTCACGACGCCACCTAAAATGCCACGCGTCGAGTGCATACAAACGTAATGGCAATTAGGAGACCACGGTGCGACGCGACGGCACAACGCAAGGGAGCTGTCGTGCCGTCGCGTCCTATAGTCGCGTCGCCTTTGGAAGAAGGGAGAGAGAAGCAGAAATGTGTGTCGAAAATAGTACACCATAATAAGCGGTACAGTTGGAGAATTCATAGAAGGGAACTTACTCTTCTAATGCACTGCAGCTCCAAGCTGGCACGTTTCAGTTCCTCTACAGCTAGATTTGTCAAAACTCTGAAGCACGGATAGTTTTTTCTTTACTGTTACCGAGTTGGGCCGTGGATACATTGAATCAAATTTATGAAAATTATATGTAAAATGTATACAAATCAATATTTTAATGCACTAAAGTATTTGTTTAATCTGTCAAGTGCATAATCAATGGCTTCTAAAAAGTTCTGCTGGCATGTCCTGTGCGCATATGATCAGCATAATAGCTAGAATGAAGGTTGATTGAAGTGCCTGTAGTTATACTTAAATCTTTGAAGTTAGGTAGTTAGTGGCGTATCCGGGGGGGGGGCATAGGGCAACTTGCCCCCCCCCCCCGGACTTTTAATTTATTCACAAAGAAAACTTCATACGCGAGTAGGAAAGAAAGTAATCGGTATATTAGCACCAACACCCATTGGCAAATGAAAGCAAGGGTGTCAGGACCGGGAGTAAGGCTTACGTTTTTTCTCCCCAAAATAACGTTGAATGAGCCCAAACGGCATTCGATTTTGAATCCCCCACCGAAAGCGGAATCCGCCGCTGCAGGCTCGTCAAAGCTGCGAACTGCTCAGACGGGCGTTTTGGTTGCTGCAGAGCTCTAAAATTAGGTCAATTCTTACGAACAGACGCTGCTCACGGGCCAAAATTAATGAATTAACTACTGTTGTGGGAATTATATTTCAATGGCACAAATATCAGAATCAATGAAAGCACATGAACTATTTGAAAACTTACAGCTTAGGTTTACTGTTAAGTGATGTTCCTTGATAAACATATGAAGTGCGAAAGCAGTTTCAGCTGTAACCTAAACTATAATCTATAAAGCTTTCACCTGTAATCATTATAAAAATTGCTTGCGGCATGCAAAAACACGAGTTCATCTGATTGATAAGTGAAAAAGTACACTTATGTCTGGGATGGGGTGATGGAACAACTTGAGACATAATTGCCACGTGTACTGAATATAGTGCGCCGCTCAACTAGAAACTACTGTCTTAAATGAAACAAAAGTGTTCATTCAATACAGTATTTTTGTAGTCCATGGGCTGTGGGTCACAGCCAAATTTATCACAAACAGTTTTTTTATGCTTTCTATCAAAGTCATAAACAGTAGCCGCTGCTTTCCAAAACGAAGCGGGGGACTTTTGCGTTTTGTGAGTATTCCGCTGTCTTGAAATGATTACTAGGTGTAGAAGGCGTGCGCACTGAAGCCCGATTGTGCAAGTATCCAATTACATGCATATTGAAATTGAATGTTAATGGCACAATTAATACCCAGACTCTTGGCTATAAAAACTAATGAAGATATTAGAATGCATGAGACAAAGATAATTTTTTGGAAACGAAAGCCCCCAATATGGTCGCAAATATTGATATTCCCCATTTTCTGGAAGGGTCATTACAATAACATTATAACACGCTAAATAATAAAAGGAAACGATAATTCCACAACAATAATTCGATAGCTCTCAGTAAATTGTATTGCAATCTATTTTCGTCAAGAACTGCTATAGCCTTGACAAAGTACTTTTGGTAAAATATACACATAAGGAAAATCATTATTCATGACTATGCGTGCATTAGCGTATGGTCTTCAGCTTGTCTTCTAAACACGATCGAGTACGCCAATACCATAATAGCTGAGCGCAATTATTGACCGCTAAGAAATTTTGTAAGTCACATGCCAGCAATAGCCCAAACCTTTGAATGAAAATATGTGTGCACTCATACTTAGTGCTTGACACCATCTTGGACGACACTCACTTGTTCAATTAAACATCTTTTCCGTGGAACTGCGATATGTCATGCTTATGTTTCGATCAAATCTCTAAACTTTCTGCTGCATTTCTGAACCCCAGGTGGCGCTGAAGCGTGCATAAGACCCACCAGAGGACTTTTTGTTGTCTTTTTGGTGAGCTGAAGGTCATTTGCTCAAAGCTTCGTACTCTATTAACTTGGATGTTCTAAAACCCAAAGCGTACCGTGATATTACCTCATGAGGTAACAATGGTTATAAAGGGGTTTTTGCCCAATTGCACCGGTCCCCATGCTCAAACTTGCGATCCCGTCACGTTATTACTTTTTAAACACTGAAATTAATAAGTATGTGGCAAACTGGTCACCCAGATGTGAATGGCGACAGAGTAAATATCAGCTGGCTGAGATACCAGGACTGACTTCGTTTTTAGGGCTTCCCCCTAGATGTTTGTGTGGAAAGATTACCCAACTGAGATGAAACACTCTTATGGTTTAGCTGGCTAGGTGTCGTGTGTCTTGGGGTTATAAATGAATCCTGGGTCCAATTTTATCAATATCCATATAGACCTCTTTCACTGGACGCCATCTTTGTATGAAAATTTCAGCTGCGTGTGTGCGTGATGTGTAAATGCTCCATGCTCGTGCGTTGGTCAAACATCTTTGAACTACGGCGCAGCTAATGCACGTCAAGAAAATGTGAAGATAAAAAACGCCAATGCTCTTGACAATCTGTAGGAAGTGACGTCATTTGAGAGAGACCAATTTTGTCTGTTTATTGCGGAGCTATATATAAAACAAGAGCGCTGAGTCCTGTGCAAAATGATGCCTGATGGGGGCATCATGTTTATGCATAAACTTATGGAAAACTGGAAAATAGCCGTATTACGGTTATCTGTACATCTGCGTATCAGTTCGAAAACGATACGTCAACAAAGCCGATACGCAAACAACGTGAACTCACAATCAATAAATGAGCGTTTCATTTTTATTTGGGCCAAAAAAACGCAAACGTGTGCGCGTATGCGCTTCACACGAACTTTGGCGCGGCTGTTTTTAATCAAATTTTACCGGTAATCACTTAAAACTGATTGAATTAATTTCAACATTTTAATTGAATTGAACTTATTCATTACGAATGGGGTTAGGCGCGCGTCTTGGTTCACGCGCTGGTTCTCACGCTAATGCCTCTACACACTAATTGAGCGCGTGACGTGTTCACTTCGGTACTCTATCAGATTTTGAATGGTCTGCAAGCAAGCACATGGAATCAAAATGTCTGCGCCCAGGACGGTGTCAAATTTTCTCCTCGCAGAGAATGAGAATTTATCGTTTTAGGTTTTATAGCTATATAGCTTTATAGCTTTATAGTTTATTGCTACTGGGCTTTTTAAGTGGAAATGAAATCACATGCCACCATATTCCATCTTTCCCAAGTTTTTTAATTCTTTGCTTTTATTTATTTGTCCTCTGCTGAAGTTAGATCTACATACCATTTTAACAGCATGAATTAGTTCCTAGTGGGATAATAACTTGCAAATAGTGTGCAAACAAACTGTCGTTGTGTGACAAAAAGGTCACACAGTCCTGCATTTATGTACTTTTGTAACAGGTGCCTATTGATTGTGGGTTAAAAGGCGGAGGTCCCTTCCATCGGTGAGCATGTAATTTTCCACAATCATGTTTCATACACGTGTATACACCAAGAACTGCAAATCTTATTGATAACATACGATTTCACTCAAATTATGATTAATGAAATATCAGCAGCTACTCCTACTTGATTTGATCCATTAACGGACTCCCATAACATTCTTTAAAGTGACGTTCAGTTCCACACAAGAATAATTACGAAGCAACTACTTCTACAAAACCGAAAATATTTCCCACATGTACAATGAAGAATTCTGAAAGATGATTACCAAAATTTTAAATTCAAATTAAACTTCATTAAAGGCAAACTCTCAAAAGACTTTCCGATATCTTATCGGGTGGGAGTCCAGCCAACTTTCACTAGTCGTTTTTTTTTTTGTCGTTTCTACATCATACATAATAAAAAAAAAGGCTCACATGGCCTGTTCGACAACTGTTTCCATACTGGCAGATGCCTCTGCTAAAACGGCCGTCGGCTTTTTGCGCCAGCAGTACATCATGCCGTACAGGGCTTCGCGGAACTCGCCAAAGCGCCACCAGTAAATGAACGGGTTGATGGCTGAGTAACTGACCAGAACAAGCACACTGGACTTATAAAACACACGGAACCAATCGCCTATACCACGAACAGTTCCATTTCTGCTAAAGTAAATCATGAAACAGGCGACAGAGATCGGAAGCCAGCATAGAAATGACGCAGCCAGGATGAGGGTGAACGTGATCAGAAGGTGACGTGTTTGACGCACGCGGGTACCAGTTTGTTCATCGTTTTCTGGGATACCCGAGGTAGAGGCCAACGGTGGTCGATAGCTAGAAATCTTACGAAAGACAACTAAGTAGAGAATTGCAGTCGCTGTCAGAATCACTAGACCGATTAGTGGTTGTATGAAGCGAATGGTAAGTCGGGAACCGGTGTATGTCAAAGGGAAATAAGTCAGAGCAGAAACCACCCACATCAGGATGTAAACCACCACCATGCGACCAAGCGTAACCATGCTATCGTAGCGAGCAGGTGGAGTGATACTCAAAGCCAGGAGCCGGTTCACAGCCACGAAGAAGACGTTCAACGTTAACACACCATAAGACGTAAAAACCAATGAGCTCAGGAACTTCCCTTTAATGTTGCTGGACAGAATAAAGGCTGCAGCCGAAACGGTATCAGTAATTGCTAAAGTGAAGACGAAAAAGTAGTACTTGATGCGTAGTTGCTTGTTGGCCAGAAAGACTACCATCACCACGACATTAAAAACTAGAGCTACGCCAGTGACTGCACAACCAGCGATGTTAAGCGCGTACACCGTCTCCTGAACCATGACTAGTTTTGGTACGTGAATGTGTGTGAAGACAGCAAGAAACCTGTAAGAAAAGACACAAACTCAAATGACAAAAAATTTGGAACATTGCACGTATTGTCACACAATTCCTTGTCATAATATCTGAGTTAAAATTGCCTTGCTCGATAAGTTTCGAATTTTTTCTTAAGAAAACCTCCAGCAAATATATGTTGAATTTTTCAATCAAATAAGTTTTGTGCAGACTCTCTTAGTTATTACTTTACATTTGTACAAATCTAAAACCTTTTAGTGATCCTTAGTGATCGGTTTGTTATAATGAATAACGTGCACAGCTCCTGCATAGCTAACGTTGACTTGTTATTTTCGAGTGACGGGGTGTTCGGCAGATTCAAAGCTGTGTGACGCGTTATCATCATTTGAATAAAACATTAACCTCTCAGAAATTGCAACGGCATCTAATTATCACTGAAAACTGACAAAAACAACCGTTTGATTGATTATAAGATTCTGTGATGAAATGAATGGCAATATGTAGGCTACTGTCCTTACCAGCGTAAGTATCAAGTAACACAAATTGAATTTAGTTTGTCATAATTGGCCAGGGTTTCCTTGAGTTTTCTATCTCTCCTATAAAGGCAACTAAAGCAGATTTAGGAAACTTGTGCAGGCAGCTTCGTGGTGAATTGGTGGTATAGGCCGAGCACAGTTCGTAAATTTGAAGCTGTTCATATCTTCCTGATTCCCCACTTTGAGTCACATCAGAGATGCACATATCCATGCAGTCCTCTGTAAGAACTGTACAAATACAAGGCACGTCCAGTCGCGAAACAAGTGATTAATAAGCCGTTTTTGTTAGAATTTGAAGCGTTCAGGCTGTGCTCTAACTTTGATAATTGTACGGAGCGATTTCAACTTCACATTTTACACCAAACACGGCACTCAATACATTACCACAGGGTAAACATCCCTTTACACACTGTGAAAACAGGAAGACTCGTGTACGTTTTCTATTGGCCTCTTGATTAGAAAAGCAAACACTGATGTCATTCATGTTACAAACTCTTCTTGGTAAGTACACATATCATTTTAATACATAAAATCAGTCAGCTTAAGACAATACTTTTAGGTGGAATTATTGGGGGAGTTAACAATTATTTTCAATTTACCCGGCAGGTGAACATACCCCATCCCAACTAAGCCTTTAGGCAAACAAACATCGAGACATTTGGCTCTTGCTGTGAAAAGGGTTTTGCAAATATCTCTGCTCACATCCTTAATCATTAGAGATTCACCAGAGCTAAAAGGCTCACTCAATCTGATTTGTTTGCCCACTCCCATATCCCTTCATGATGGCAAAGTCTTGATCACCCTGCAATTCCTACTTGGAGCCAGACAAGTCACGCGAGGAGAAGTGTCCCCAAATCACCCCATCTAACTACCCACCGCTACTTATAAGTGAGGCCTGTGCAGAAAAATAGCCATGTTCTAACTGTGATGCTAATATATTATCGTAAGATGTAATACTGTAGGCAAACTTATAAGTGAGGCTTGTTAGACCTTTCTGCTTGTTACGTTTCGTGAAGCTGACTAGCCTCACTTATAAGTTTATATTCTGTATTGCATCATAGACCCAAATGGGAATTAGGTTGAAGTTTACATTGCCGCAAACACTAAAGGCGATATTAGGGTTAAATTCTTCACAATGAAAGCATCATCAGTGAGTTCCTCTTTCTTGTTTTTACATTTTTTTTTATTTAAGGTAGAAATGGTCACCCGATGTTGTCACACTCTCCAACAGTCAAATACGGAGTGAGTCTTGGAGTCTTTACATGTGTGAGAGTTCTTAACTTCAAGCAGTTTAGATCTCATTTTCAGTGCTAAATATATTCACATGTGCGTGTGTATGCAACCAGCTTTTTCAATGGACTGTCGACGAACACAAACGTACATTTCTAGGCATAGGAAGCACATTTTTCTTCGACTACTTTTTTTATAAACCAATACGCAGAGGACAGATTCCAACCTTTGTGTTCAGTGCATGCAGCCCGTGAACTATTCTAAAAACAAAAACATCATATTGGAGGGATATTTACAAAGCTAATTAGCGGTACAGGTGGAAAATTCAAAGAGAGGAACTTACTCCTCTGATGCACTGCCGTTTTGAGCTTTAGACTTGCACGTTTCAGTTCCTCTGCCGCCAAATTTGTCAAAACCCCGACGCACGGATGGTTCTTTTATGGTGGTAGTGAGTTGGGTTGTAGATTTTTAAGTCATGTTTATGAAAATCCTATTAATACTAGAATTATTCGCACACACTAAACTAAATAGTTCATGAGCTTGTTGCATAAACAATGACTTCTTTACAAAGTTCTGCTGGAACATCATGAGTGATAAGTTGCCCAGCCCGCGCGCATGCGCAGCTTAATAACGACAATGAGGGCTGGTTACGGTGCCTAAAACCTGAAAGCCAAGAAGTCTTCGTGCACCCGATCCGACTACACACTGCTACTGATAAGTGAGGCCTGTGCAGCTGTATAGTAGGCAAAATTGAGGCTTGTTCGAGCCTTCTGCTTGCAAATTTTCGTGACGCTGACTAGCCTCACTCATACGTTTGTCTACGGTATTGCATCTTACGAATAAATATTAGCATCACAGTTCTTGCAAGCTGTACAGGCCTCGCTTGTAAGTAGCAGTGGGTAGTCGGATTGGGTGCTTTGTCAAAGTTGCTAACTGCTCAGTTGGGCGTTTTGGTTGACGTAAAGCTTTATATCTGTTCTGTTCTTAGAAACAGATGCTGCCCACTGACGAACATTAAACTAACGGATGTCTGGGACATTTTATTTTATAGGCACAAATATCAAGATCAAAGAAAGCCCTTAGAGTGTCATGGAAAAAGCACCAATACATCCGATTATGTTCACCTGTGTCAGAAATTATGTGATGGAACAGTGAGACATACACAAACACGTTCGTTAATATAATGAGGCACTAAACGGGAAACTACTGAAGGTATATGTTCGGTTCAAAAACCACAAAATGATTTCGCCATATTTATTAGAAACGTTTTGCTCCATGCTGTTTATCAATTAAGTTGATATTTGCATTAGTCTCTTGCAACTTTTACCAAAAAGCAAAGACTTTTGCATTATGCAAGTTTTTTTTACTTCGCTAACAGTGTAGTCATATACGGAAGCCCGTTAGTGCCAATTCTAACTCCGCAAAATATTTTTATTGAGATATAACGCAATAATATTGCAAAATAACGCAATAAGAACGTAAACTACTTCCTCAGTTGGGAAAGCTATTGCGTTATTTGCAAACCTATTGTGTTATTTTGCAACATTATTGCGTTATTTGGCAATATATAATACTTTAATTTGTTAGAATTGGCACTAACAGGCTTCCGATTTGGTAATTATCCACCTGTATGCACACTGAAATTGAACAGTTATGACATAAATTAAAGCAATTACAGTTTATGTATGAATATTAATTGTGATAAAAGTATTCACGAGATGGATACACTTGTGTTTCTAAAGACAGCGCTCGGTACAGTCACTGAGAGCTAAATATGAAATTCCCATATATCAAGGGGTTTCAGATCCTATCAAGAAAATATGAACGATAAACAGTTACATGCAAGTGATAATCAAAGTTAAATGGTTCATACTATGCCATTTTCTTTCAAGTCAAATATTTCACTTTTAGCAATTATTTCTGTACACGATAGACGTCAATGAATTGTACTGCAACTTACTTTAATGAAGAATTGCTACAGCACTGACAAAGTACTCCTGATAAAAATATACACAGAAGATAATTCATATTCATGACTATGCGTGTATTGCCATGTGGTCTTAATATAATTCATATTCATGACTATGCGTGTATTACCATGTAGTCTCAATATAATTCATATTCATGACTATGCGTGTATTACCATGTGGTCTTAATATAATTCATATTCATGACTATGCGTGTATTACCATGTGGTCTTGAGCTTGTCTTTTCCGCATGGTGGAAGTAGTGACTAACATAATGGCTATGCGGATAATAATTGACAAGTACAGAAAGAACTGTTTAAATACGTCTCCTGCGGCAATAGCCAAAACCTTCAAATTTTCTCCCCTGCCAGTGAACGAAATATTGGTCTCTCTCACATAATACGGGAGAATCATGACAGTGCCCCTGCAAGGGTATCAACGCGTTAGCTAATTACAATGCGCGAAATCTGTCGACCCCTTCCAAACGCGGATGGGTTCGACAAATTCGCGCATAATGTTGGTCAGTGCTTTGCAAACTCTTGGAGGGGCACAATTGTGCAACGTCTGTATTGTCTTCAATTTAATATCCCGAGAAATATACTGAGGGAATTCTGGTGTCGATCCAAACGATATTAAAGCATGAGACTGCATGAATGATTATTGGTGACTGACCGTGAACCACTAAAAGCATTTTATGCAAGCATTCACAAGGCCCATCAAGGGAAACCTTTTTCCCAAGCTCCAGATTTTTTAACTCAAAGCCTCGTGCTCTGAGTTGAATGTTATTCTACCCATTCGCGAATCTTCCTTCTGTGTAACTGTCTCGCTCGAATCACATAAACAGGATCTGCTGCGTTTGCACCCCTCAGATCCAAGTGGTGGGCCCCTTCATAAATCAAGACGGTATCCAAGGCCCCGGGATTGGGATTATCCAGCACCCCTCCCCCACGCCAAGGGTCCAGTGCCCCATTGCTGAAGACGATATTGGAGGCTGTTTTGATGTCTTTACCCCACATGATGACATTGAGCCAGTTTGGTCTTGGAGCGATATTCCACTTGGTGAGACAGTAGTCTTCTTTCATCTTGGATGTGAATGGCAGATAGGGGAACATGTCGGTGACACCGTTGGTTCCCGCTGGCATGGTAACCTCCGTGCACACTTGCCAGTCACGGGCTTTGGCTGTGTCCCCCGATCCGCAACCAGTAGGATCAGCGCATTCAACATACTGAGAGTCGATATCCATACATTCCAGGGATCCGCGAGTGCCGTTGTAGTAGAGAATCGCCGATTCTGCCAAACCTTGAAGAGGTTGTTTCGAAGCAACCATCACCTGGCAGGAGACATTCACAGGCCATGGTGGTAAATCACCCAGGAAGCTTGTGTTGTACGGATAGTTTGCCATTGCCATGCTGGCAAAAGCTTCCCGAATCCAGCCTTGAAGATGGGGCAGTCGGTCCTTGTTTATCAAAGGCTTGCAGAGCTTAAAGGTGGCTGATATCTCAGATAGACCAACCTTACCCTGCCCAGCCAGCTCCTCCATCCTGGTAAATCCCCTCCGAACCGTTCCCACACAGTCAGGTGCCGAGGGCACGCTGCCAAAAGCCTTGGTAACGTCATCAAAGAAGAACGTCTCCGAACCCAGCCCGGCGCTCGAATAGATAGGAGCACTAGATGCGACAGCTCCATCCACTATATTGGGATACTTGAGGCGCATGTACGCACTCAGCATGCCGCCATAACTTCCACCGAAGGCTATTACTTTGCAGTCATGACAGTGTAGTTCCTCTTTGAGGTGAAGGATAAGGCTAGCATAATCTGCCAGGGCCTGCTCCACGGTCAATAACCCCAGATTCTCCCTGTTAAAGGACATGCTTCCAAAAGGCAAACTCTCCCCGTAGAAACGATGCTCGGCGAATACGACCACAGCCTTGAACTCGGGCGCGATATCGAAGAGGAAGCCTGTATTATCAACGAAGATCGTCACAGGAGCCTCGTTGCCGGTGTACAGGAATATGGGGCCCGTGCCGATAGACCAGTTGTCATCTGCCAGCATGTAGCGCTGTCTGAACGTCCGGTTGCCGTGACTTGCAAAGTTAAAATGATCTATAATCTGGTCGAAATATTCGGTCTTGATATGATGGCTTCCTCCAGTGATGCTCAGACAGACTAGCATCACACACGGTAGGAAAATGACAGTTGCGGAGGTAGATGTCATTGTAATATATACCTCTACAGATTATGCGACTGTAACCCAGGGAACACGCCTCGTCAACAGTGAGTTTTGGCTAAATGGCACATTTCCTACGCAGTTGTAAATCAACACGACTACCACATGCACTGAACGGCAGTGAATTATACTGAACTTTGGCATCCGTGTTTACGTTCACGTCAACGATGAAAGCGTATTGTCACCTTGACCGTGTGCCGCTACACCGCGTCTGTACCAGCGTTGCACAGCAGCATTGTGCGGCGGGTGTACAATGGTGGGTCAAACAATGCGGCAGGTGTACAATAGCGGGTCAAACCAGCAGTTCAGTGTTTCGTTTATTTTGAAGTGGATCGGGATCTGGATCTGGCTTGATGACTCTGATGACAACGTAGATGACCGCATCACAGCAGAATTGACCAAAATACGACAAGGTGATGGTGTCTTTCAATACTGGTAAAGAATATCAGATTCCATGATGGAATGGTGTTTGCAAATAAAAAGAAATGGAGACAAAAATGACCTCTTTGAGCATGAATAGGCCTACACAATGCTAGACTACTGTGAATACAGCCGTGTACACGGGAAGTTGGTCGCTGCTTCATACAGCGCGTGAATCCGGCAAATCTTGTCGACTTCTTTGAGCTCAATCTTCAAGTTGAGATTAATCCACATGGTTGCAGAAATCGACAATGTCATTGATTTCTAACATGCTGTGACTTGGCGGTCCGCCACTTTTAACTACTTAAAGGGACAACTCGACTTGAATATCTAATAGACCTACAACAAAATGACGCAATGCAGTGTTTACCGCGGTGCATTGTGGGTGAAAGGTGGGGATATTGAAGGAACGCTTCGACATGAAACGTTATGTGTAACAAAGCAAAGTCAACAAGTGAACCTCTGTATGCAGTCTACATTTTGTAGGCGGAGACAAAACTTACGCGTACGATGTACCGGATCCAACAATTTTCCCGTGGACAAGTGAGCAGGAGGAGGTTGCCAGTGTTTCCCGGCAAAATGAACAACGAAGAAGCTGCCTTTCTCTTCAGACATGATTTGGGGACTTCATACATGAAACTCTTTCTCACGATTTTGCTGGTACAACAGAGGAGAACTGTGACTTCTTATGGAAATCTTTGCCTATTTTTCCATTTCATCTGTAAACGCTGATGAACTTAACTTAGCGAGGTTAGCATGCCAGCCCGAGCATGCATAGGGCCTACCTGCATACACTCGGGCATGTCGGGAGACAAGCTCGCTTTTGTACTGGTCCTAGTTGTTCGCCGCCGCTTGCATATTGAACTCGAACTTGAAGCTTGTTTTGGCTGCAAGATTGGCAGTGGGTTTAGGTTTGCAGAAGCAGGAAAGCTTCTTCGTTGTTCATTTTGCCGGGAAAATCGTTGGATCCGGTAACTCGTAAGTTTTGTCTCCGCCTACAAAATGTAGACTGCTGCATACAGAGGTCCACTTGGACTTCACTTTGATGGCCTTATTTCTCACGGAATTAACTTATCCAAATCTGTCGCCTTTTGCGGTCCATTGGAAGTGAAAAAACGTAGCTCTGGCGTTCGTTAAGTGCTTGATAAATACAACGTAACACAGCAGTTCACATGGACCATTTCGGACGATAATTGGGAATTTGTTTTTATTTTTATATTTTTTTCGTGTCAGGCCAATACACACGCCATACAGTATACGTTAGCCTACACACTTAACGTGTCACGTCAACGCGTTCCTGCAACATCCCCACAATGCAGCGCGGTAAACACTGTATTACGTCATTATGTTGTAGGTCTATTGTTGCTTTAAGGGGGTTTCAAAGGAAAGTCCGACATTTTAACACATGCAGCTTTCATAATACTTGAAGACCACTCCCCTCTTGAGACTGAAAGAAAACCATTTTCCCAAAGGAACATGCGTCGTGTATCCCAAGCAGTTGTGTAATTGATGACCTTCTTTGACCAAGGGCGAAAGAGACCTTATTCACAGGAGGCTGTTTTCTGTTGTGCATGTTCGAATCTGTCATAAAAGTGACATGTAAGAAGGGGTGGTGCCAGACAATTTGGGTACCGAGCCTCTCTTTCAGTTTGTTAAAATGTGGCTTCAAACGATGAGATGTTAGTTTACACAAATTCTAAATTATTCTCAATGTAAACTGGCATTAACTTGTAACAAAAAAATTATTTTCTCGCCATCACCGGTATATTTACTCTCTGGTCATGAAAATAAAACTTCACCTCACTTTTGATCCAAGCCGGGACATGAATACAGTCTGCTGNCAAGGAACGTGTTGTCATATACGGTTATGTATCATACGCCTGGAAATATGTACAATGCGTGAGCGCTGGTGGTGAACAAGCCACACGACACATCGTTGTTACCAAGCATCCCACACTGCAGCTATTCACACTTGAAGTACATAAATAGTATGATTTGATACCATTCATAACTAGAACGTACAGGCATTAAAAAAGAGACAAACTAGAGATACGTTTGTCAGCAGACAAACGCGCTCTTTTGGCTTTCAGATAAGCAGTCTTTGCTCATGACTGTGATATAAATATTTCATAAAAGTGATGATGGGACAAAATATAGAAAAAAAATCAAACCTGTAGGCATAGTTAATCCTGTCACATCGACCATGATAACCTCACTAGGGTTTAATTATCATCTGATCACGTAACCATCATATTGTCCTGTCATATCAACCATCGTAACCTCAGTGAGGGTTTAATTATCATCTGATGACGTCACCATAATATTGACATCTACAATTCCTTTTCTAACTTTCTACCAAGTTTCAACCCAATCAAACATGTACGTCAACAAATATAGTGCCTTTAAGAGCGCACCTTTAATTGATGTAACGTGACGTGTCCCTCATGATGTCATCACCACAAAAGGCCAATATTTCTCTAAATCCCTACCCTTTCAAGATACCAGCAAGGTTTGAACCAATCGGACATACAATTCAGGAGATAAAGGGCTACAAAGAGTGCCCTTTGAATATCACATGACTTGTCAGCTGATTGCATCATCATCTTTTGGTGTCCATTTTTGACTACAACCCTTCCGTTTCATTTCTGCAAGGTTTTAAACCCAATTGGACATGAATTTCATAAGATACAAGGCTTCGAAGGGTGCCCCTTTAAAGTCACGTGACTTGTCCACTGATGATGCTATCATTACATCAGGTCACTTTATGTCAGTAGTACTTCCCTTTGAGGTTATCCACCAAATTTCAACCCAATGGGACATGTAATTTAGAATATATCATGCGTTGAAGGATGCGCCTTCAATGTAGAAAAAATATTGTTCTTTCTGTGCAAGGCCTATTGTTCATAGGACACAGCAAACTACAAAATATAAGCTATGGAAACATGTACAAAGTAAATGGGTTAAATATGCATGTGCAGAAAAACTGCTCCTTTAAGTTCATGTCAGCTGATCTACACTCAAGCTAAAAACCTTTCATGATATGTTATTTGATATTTTGACTATTGAGTATATTTGTAATCGAACAAAAAGGAAAAATTAGTCTGAATTCTCTAATAATATTAATAATAAAGCTGTTCTGGCTGGTAGCGGAAACAGCTAAAATTGTTTTGGTTAAACGGTAAAATTAACTTTCGTTTATTTTCACAAGGCAATGCAGTTTGGTGTACAACTCAAAAGCTACCCCTCAGATTGTTACATTAATGTATTTAAAAGCGTGATGTTAATAAATATTTATCTATACAATATTCATTGTGCTAGAGCAAACATTACAGTCAAAATTGGGGGGTGTTGGTTTTTTAGGCAATAGTAAACTTCTATTTTTTACACATTAAAACACATTAAATTCAAACTAAAATGCAATCAATTTAACAAAAGCATGTTCCAATTTTTGACCCTAAATGTACTTTGTAGTGGATGGAGTACTCCGACCGATATAACCCGGACAGTTCACAAAATTCTTGGCACAGAAGCGGCCGGAAATGCCCGAACATTAACAATACCATGCAAATGGTATTTTTTCTCTTCCTTTTCATTTGGGTAGCAATTTAATCTTTGTAACAAATTTTTAATATTTTGAGGAAAAAGTGTTGACGTTAAACTGAATCGAATATGTACAGGGTACGTTCAGAATAGTTCGTCTATTTGCGGAAATCTGTTAGAGTGTTGGTCACGTGGACGATGGGTGATACAGTTCCCTTGATAAGAAGAGTTTCGGAATCATTGGGTCTGGTGTCCAGACTGAGTCTTAATATGCAGCGAGTTGAACTAGTTTTAGCTAACTTGCTGCAGCGAGATACATACATGAACAGATGTTACGGTATTGTGACTATGAAAGGGCGGTACTGCACTGGAGACCATGGCATGCGGGAATTCTTTAGTCAGTTTCGGTCACGACAGGACGTTCTGCTCATCAAAAATGCTTCTGGGTACAAAGCTGAGGGGAAAATCCTTAGACATGCAGTGAAATCTCAGAGAAATGTAAGACTTGAAGTATTTCCATTGTTTTTTCAATGGGTACATACGCCTGTAAATGGCTCACATTAGCATACATTGAATTAATATCAGTGTTGGACAGTTATAGTTGCATAAGCCAATTTGTATCCATGGCAACCTGCATCAGTCAATTTACAAATCACAAATCAAGTCGCACTATGAACTCCATGTGACACCTGTGGAAACTCACACGCTTTTGCTATAGACTTTATTCACAGGGGCGGTCATATTGAATTTGAAAGCCAGGTTAACTGTTTATATTTGAATGTTGAGAGTATGAAGAAACAAAGAAAAATGAAGAAATAAGTGAAATTGATGAAAAAAGGTCATAATTTCAAATTCATGAATGAACACATAGAATTGAACGTTGCCAGATTCTGAAAATTATTGAAAGGGAGGCTTGGAACGCACGGAAGTATAAAACAGTCTGATGCCACCTTAATCGAACGTTTGCAATATGTAAAACAGATTTGGGGAATTAGATCAAAATGGCCTCCAAGTGAATAGGGTCTGTTGAATTCAGTGCGCATGTCACATGTGCTGCCAACACTACACTGGCCAGGATAGGTGATACCTTGACTTGGGCCATAAACTGTAGTTGGGTATCTGTGGAAAGAGTTGCGCATAGACCATGTTGTAGTTAGTCGACAACAGGCAATCAGCATTCAGCAAAACGTAAGCGCAGTGATCATGGACTCCTAAGCGTGCCAATTTGACCAATTACGTGTGTTTATCATTCAGACGACGCCATTCCTCTGCCCGCACTTTGCATACGTAAATTCAGTATGCGTTCATTGGTGTTATCAACACTTGGGAGGGAAGCGAACAGTATTTTGTGGAAGTTTTCATGCCACGTATTACTACACAGCCTTCATACATAGCCCTTGTACATGTACATGAACCTTATGGGTGTGTCATTGTACTTATTGGCGGGATATGAAAATTAATTTGTTACAGCATTAAGGAATGTCCAGATAAAAGGAAATCGTGATTTCGGGTAGGAATACTCAATGATCATTTTCCAAGGGTTTATACCTTCTTAAAAAAATCTCCTATTTGTCCTCCATAGCATTCTGAATAAGGACTCAACTCTTGAAGTTAAACTGTTGATAATTAATTCCATAATAGTTTAAATTGGAAAACTTCAAAATGTAAAAACAGCCTCTGCCAAAATGTAGGAAATGCGTACAGCAGTGTTAAACGTGATATTCAGGCGCAGAAGTTGATTCTGTCGTATGTACAATATAAAAGGCATATTATTGTTGATTATATTTGGATTTGCATTAAGAGAGGAAATATGCAGATGCCTAAAGTTTACATGTTTTTGCTATAGCAAGTAGTAGTATAGGCCCACTTTTGGATGTAACGTGTGCATTCTTGCACAAATAATCGAAAGCGCTTCCTCAAAAACTCTGACATCCATATTGTATCCAGTACATGTATTTGCCAGTTTGATCAACAGTTATGTGATTATAATTATAAACAAAGCAGTTTATTGCCAGTAAACCATTTTCTTAAGTTTAGACGAAACTATTTCTAACAACATTTGAATTTACGGATAGAAAATACATTCTTTTAATGAACTTAAAACAAAAATATTGGTATATCAAGTATACTTAAGCTGAACAATTTGTTAATTTTTCACATGTTGGAGAATTTAGGACCGTTCCAACGTATAAGGCCCTATATACGTAAGACATGAGAAATGGAAGTGCCAACGAGTTTAAAAATGTCTGATACATCAAACAACTATCAAAGCAAAAACTAACTTAAACTTAAAGCCATTTGCAAACGTTTGAGACCACCTGAAATTTCATTGGTATTTCTGTCGACGGGTCTGCATTACATTGTGTTGTGTTTTTACAGTGGTACATAACGTCAGTGTAGTGCTAACCCATTTAAATGATATGTTTGCAAAGGCCGGTCTTGTGTGACATTTGTCTGTAGGGCAGTATGGGTGAAAAATCTGGTTTAAGTAATCAGAAACAAAGGGGGACACACAAAATATTAGACTGTTAACATTTCAAATCATGGAATGGGATAAGGTTACACATTGAAAATAAGTTGCCATGATTGATTGGTTTAAGTTTAGTTTTCAAATATCAAGCCAAATAAACGCACCGTATCTTTAACCAGATTCTACACATGGCCCTTCAACCGGAATTCAAAAGATTCAACAATAAAAAAACTATGACAACATAGAATGTCCGGTTGCGGATACCGACACCTGCCACGCACTAAACCATGTTATGTTACACGGCTGCTTTTGAAAATCACCATGCACGCTATACGGTTGTGGATGAAAAGTTGCAAACACTTCGACAAAGTGCATTTGTTAACACTTTATTCCTGACAACCATTTTTTGCCTGTGGCAGGTGAATCAGTCCTTGGACTTTATTTGTATTTCTATGTAAACGGAAAGCAAATGCTGATTGATAAGCTACAGAAATACTGCATTGATTCCTTTCTATATAAACGACCGTGTGATTGTTGGAGCACAGCTGCATGTTGTAGCACATTGCAGCATGATTTTAAATCGCTCCTAAAAAAAACAAACAAATGCAAGGCAGTACAAACTAATGATATCATTCTTGGGCTGTCATCTGTAATGCGTTAAGTATACACTAAAGTTCATTCAAAAAAGGATGTCAGGTTTCACTACTAAAATGTCCTGATCTGCATATATCTACAAAGGTTCCATGACTTGTAATATCTGTTTTGTTTATTAAATGACCTGTTTAACAATATTAAATGCAATATCATATCTGAATATAATATCTGAATGGAATATTAAATATTACAAAAATCAGTAAATTCACGCTATTAAAAAAAGCATTTTATGCAAACGTTTGATGGATTAAAATAGACCATGAAAAAGATGATATTGATCTTCACGTTCTGTACAAATAATTTCCAAACTTTCATCAGTAAATTTGTTCCACTTAAAACCATCTTTTCTGTGTTTGGAACGAAAATGAGAAGCAGCACTTGCCAGTAAATCACAGTATTTGATGCATCATTTTAAGGTATTTCGGAATTTTCTCTGTACTCAGATAATTGTCAGTCGCCAAAATACATAAGTGAAGAACTATGTCGCAAATAGGCCTACAAGAACATGAACTTTATTCGACTTAAAAAAAACACAGCCCATATATAATGTGTTTTTGTGTCTACGCATGAAGTTAAAAAATTACGTTTAACAGTACTTCAAAAGAATTTATTGCTATGCATGCAAGAAGATAATTTCCACTGACATGATTGGTGCAAAATATTGCTACGTTTATTCTCCTATCTAAAGGTAAGCCCACCCGCACGAGATCGGTCAGCTGTGGTGCAAGTTTGACTACAGTCATTAAGACGAGACTGTCTGCACGTGCAAGGTGATCGATACTTCTCAAGTTGTTGGGGTCTGACAGGATCTAAACAGAAAAAATGAGGAAAAACGCCAAGCCAGTAAGGACGTGTTCAAAGGAATTCTTCTTTCTTCATAGAAAAATAGTCTTGCAGCAGAAACGTTAACAACGCCCTAACCAAGAAAAAATTAATTCACACGAGAAAATCTGGTTAACTCCTGTAAGTTCTGATTCAACTCAGGAACTCAATTTCAGATTATATTTAGGTGTTCTCCTGTGTCTGTAAGTCGACGTTGCTATTCTTAATGTTATAGTCTTTTGATCCGCTTAGTACCTTTCAGGTAGTTCGATAGGATAACATCAAATTGGAGGTTCAATATCCAGCCTGATAAAGCCCGATACACAGTCAAATCTAACCAAGTTTCCCGACCTGGGCAGTTTAAAGTGGCCTTTTTCGGGACGGTGCGAGTCAATGAAATAATCTGAGGCCTCAGTGAAAACCTCGTTACCCCTGGTGATAACACAACTAACTGTGTTATATAAGGGAAACACCTTGCAATAAACAACACATTCTAGGGAGACGCTGGATATCACGGGGACATTACCGGTCTTCATGTAACTAATTTTGCGCAACCGGAAAGGTGATTTTATAGGAAAAGTATCATTTATACCGCGACCGCGTAGTTCGTCGGCTAGGTCGTCCCTCTCCAATGTCGTCAGCTCACAGCAAAGCCATTCAAGTTGCGCTTCAGGGGATAACTGCTTATTTCTCCATGTAATCAGCATTTGGAGGATCTGGTCCTGCCTGTCATGAAGGTCCTTCTTGATTTCGAGGATATCAGGTGCACTGAAGCCGAGGGGTGTTGCTAGCTCCTCCCATTCAGGTCCCAGCTTCTGCGACAGCTCTCGAAGACTTGAATCTTCTATATCTGGGTACCAGTAAAATGGTGCATATATTTAGGCGATCACACATAAATTCTCATGGCAGCAGATATCTGTTTACAAAGTTCACAACCTTTGACCCTTTAAATTGCTTGAAAATTTATTGGATGTGGTAAAAACGCACACGATAATAATATCTCAAATCAAATCTGTTGAAAGTAAAAGATCATAGGCCACACAAACGAGTTTAAGTAAACACATCACATAATCTCGGATTGTATTTTAACGGGACAAGATGAAATATACCTCGTAATATATAAGCAATGTCCTCTCGTCTGATCCTATTCAAGATGGTTCGAAGCGTTTCAACCTGCGCTTGAGGGTACTGCACTTCTCCCCACTCAACAAGCATTTGGAAAATCTGGCTACTGGTATCATAAGGGTTGTCGTTCTTGAATCTGAAGAGATCTGATCGACTAAACCCAAGAAAGATCGCAAGCTTCTCCCATTCAGGACCAAGCTTTCCAGACACCATCAACAGTGTTGATTCTTCAATACCTGCAATGATTATGAAGTAACAAGATACATTTTCCATTTCAATTTCTTATCGAAGAAAAAGCCCCCAAAAATCATAGTCTATTTTACTTCAGTTTTAGCGGAGTGTTTTCTTGACATTCTTTACATGAGCTGATTTTTTAAATTCAGTTTCCACATTCTCTGCACAAGTGTAAGGAAATGTCTTCCACCCTTAATTGTAACCACTGCAAAGCAAACTGAAAATGGAAGCACTGCTTTAATTTTTACTTAACTTACCTCTCCACAGTCTCATTTTCTTCTCTTTTGTTCTCACCTTGAGGGTAAAAATGTTAAAAACAATTCACTGTTACTCGTGACAGTTGTCATTTGCTTAATGCGCGTGCCTCCTTTCAGAGCCTTGGGTTAGTTCTGGCTGACCAGAATTGTAAGCCTTTTCTGGACGTAAACACTTCTGAACGTGTTTGAAAATTTCAAAATATTTGACGTTGATGATATTTTGTCAAATACTGAAAGACTTCGGTATTCAATTAGTAAGCCAAGCGCAAAACACCAACCCACCGTTTGGAATCTTGATAGCGTCGTCATTTCAGTTGCGAACCGCATTTGGTTGAAATAATCTGAGTGGTGTAGATATTCCTCATTTCAAATACATAACTGTGATCATTTGTACGGTTAGACATTTTGGAAGCATTTTTTGCCACTTACTGTGGAGATCCCTTGCAAGGCTCTGGTCAATTGTGCCATGGCATTGCTTACATCAGAGATCCCCAAAATAACGAAACCGCCATCGACTACAAAGACACGTTTTCCTTTGGCGTCACAACTGGTGTAGCTTTCTTCCCTTTGCTGCAATACTTGTTCGCACCTATGCAAGAAGTCACTATCCCTCACAGCGTTACAGTCTCCCGTAACTTTCTTGCCGTTGTCTCTTTTGGAAAAACCTTGTCTAACTGTGTCCTGTGATAAAGCAAATACAATCCCTCGTCAGACGCATGAAGCCTGTAGCAAATATGTTAAGTTATCGTTATTGTAAGACAGTTGGTATTTGAAATTTTCGGCTATCTTGAACTGCAGAACACTGCATTAAAATCCGTCCAAAGAAGAAATAAAAATGACAATACTGTAATCTGTCGAACATAAAAAAGAATATGAGCATGCCAATGATTAGGTTTGCTTACCTGGAAACTCTCCCTGCCGTGGTTCGTGTTAGCTTCACTGGGCCCTGCTAACTGCTAGAAAAGTACAACGATAGTAGCTTAAGATTGTGCAGTGAAAGTAAAATGATGACGAACTTAATAGGTGCAACTTGGAAAATCTTGTCGGTTGTGCTAATACGGTATGATCTTTTGACGCCATCGTCGTGTTTTACCTACAGATGGCTGCTAAAACTATGGCTGGCCGTCGGTACAAAAGTAAAACAATGGTTCTAAAAAAACCCTCCATTCAAGTATCAAAACACCAAATAAAAGCACAACTTCTACAAACTACCAACTGAAAATACGACTCCATTTTAAATTAATGGGGCAGATGTCCATTTTGAAATCATTTGAGGTGAAATTGAACACCAGCCAGAAGTCTATATTTCTGCAAACTTTGGCTGCCCATACATGTTGTAGGCAAGAGTAGTCCATATTTTGAGAAGCTAGGGGAACGAATGACTATTAGAATTTATGTAATCGAACGACAAAAATTTTATATTATGCTGTTACATATAATGTCACGTACACTGCCGGGTAACTGTTATTTGTGGTAGTATAGGACCAGACGGGTGGAGAGTAAAATTTCACTCAGGCCTCACACAGTACTCAACCAGAACTACCTCTTACTACAAAGAAAATTTTAAACAGTCTGTTGTCATTTAATTACTTCTCACCGGTTCACAGACACCAGCAGCGCCTCTGTCACAAACTGACGTATCCACATCACTACAGCTTTGTGCCTTTGCCTTAAAAAAAGAATCACCTTTTCATACACTGTTAACAGATTATTTTTTACTTTTATTAGATATTTTCATAAAAGTGGACGCTCTTTTGTTCGGTGCTTGTAAATCTCGGAAATCGGTTTCTGTAGAGTTTATTTCAGGCCGTTTTCAATTCTAAGCCACATTTTTCTTTACTCAGTCTGAAAAGTGATATGTTACGAACATGTTTAGTTTCTTTTTTCATACAGTTGGATGCGGCATTGAAATATATCAATATATGGCCCAGAAACTTGCATATAAAATAAATTACTATATTGTTTCGTTTTGTTAATGCTTACGCACAATGACGTATGGGAGAAATAGGCATTAATAACTTACAGCCGGACAAATCGATAGACGAACTGACTCCTGCGTGGTGCTTTCTTCGTCTTCACATCTCTGGTACGCTTCCACAGAACAGAACAACTCAGCATTGTAAGGGAGGGTTGATAGGTTGCCAAGGGTGAAGGTAACATAGTTTGATGGGTGATTCTTTATCTTTGTTTTGTAGATGATCTGTTCACACAGGACAACATGGAAATAGGGAAGACTTTACTCTTGCTGTTGGGAAATACTAACAACTAAACTGACTGTTTCAAATTCATTCAATTTACTTAATTTTCTCTTTAGTGATCAAGTATACAATTCAGTTGGCCATATAAAAGAACCTACCTGTTGTTCACCTTCATGCACTTGACAGCCATAAGGGAGTTGCGAGACCTTAACGAGCACATCGCCCATACCCCATCGAAATATGAGATTCTTGAAACCGTCCAGTAGGTTCGAAGACTCATTAGCTTCCACAGTCTGTGGTCAGCAATCCAGATCATGAAATATATGGCTTCGTACCGTATCACTTTTATCAATGACATGTTTTTCCTTAGACATTTCTAAAACTAGAGGCCTTCATTGTAAAGAGAGGTGAGTCATTTATATTAATGAAGTGTTGTCGAATTTGACTAATAAATTTGACTAATGACGTACCTTTGCCTAATCAATCTTACATATTGGCCTGTCTGACTAATTTAAATTAGTCATTTAAGACATACCGCTTGAATTAATTTTATCATTCAATATAATTAAGTTTGATTACATTGTTTTATTCAGTGACGTCCGTTTGTATTTCTCTATACCTACCCTGCAATGTTTACTTAATGATCTGTTTGTTTGGATTTCTCTAAATCTAGCAAATTTACTTTTAAACGTTACACTTGCATCATGAGATCCCCTACGTTTTCAGCTTTACTACATGTATTGGTTAGTTGCGTTACCTATGTTTTCTTGATGATCGTGAGCAAATTTCATGCACAAGGGTAAACTTCCATGACAGATTTACCAAGGTCTCTGCTTTTCGCTCTACCTTTTTAACTGCTTTGTCGTCGTCCAAAAGGTAAACTCGAATTTGGTAAGGTCTTCCGTTGTGGGCGAGGTCATCTCCATAAGCTCCTACCAGGAGTCGTTTGCCACTTCTTCCTAATGACATCAGTCTAGTCAGAAGCTTGAGCTTAAACTTTGTAAAATGACTTACAAAGAGAATCACTCTGTCTTTGGTTACCACTGACAGGTCTCCATCAAACTCTTCCCACATCTCTCGTGGATCATCGTCCTGACACATTTGGGCCGTTAACTCGTCAGGATTGATGCTTGTCACATCGGCCTGATGAGGGAAGGACAGGACTACTGTCTTTGCAAAGTTTACACCTGGAGGTCCGCAGTGGACAGATCTTGAAAGTGTGATCCCAGTCGGATCATTTTCCCTAGTTGGGGGTTCACGAGGGTCTACGTGGATATAGACTTCCTGATTAGAGTCTGGTCGTATAGCACCAGGCGGGATAGTGAGATGCACGTCGTAGTCGTCTATGGACAAGCTTCCACCACTCTCGTTGAAGTAGCCGATAGCAATGTCAGGTAGTTGAAAGCACGTGTCAAGACGTTCCTCATTACTGAAGTCACGTGTTTGTGAATGATATTCATCAAGGACCATTTGAAGGCGGGATGGTGGTTGCTGTGTCTCCTTTGATGATATCTGCAATTAAATTTGCCCGAAAGTTGAGTTTACACAAACATGCAAATGCTCAAACAGTTTGCAAAATTGTTGAAAGTCCATCCAAATTAAATGTGACGTCTTAATAAACCCACGATTAATGCAAAGGAATTTTTGTACGAATCGCATTGTGGATTTAGTTGGTTAAAAATAGCTCAGGTGCTGGGTCATGGCCCCTGGCTTTCACACCATTTGATCTACTGATTCGATTCTCACCTTGATAATCTCTGGCTCCTCCTCTGTGCTTTGATCCAATGCATCACCCACACTGCTCCCAATATCAACATTCAACTGTAAATTTCATAGAATAATTTTTGGAAGCGTTGAAAAGATATCCTTTGCATTTTCTTTCAATTTTTTTCTCCTGAGCCTGCGATAATGGATATTTTTTTCATTTTTTCCTAATTCAGCAAATTCCATGCTCTTAATTATGAAAGTCAGTGGGATGAATCCTGCTGATAATGGTTCAGCTTGGGTCATAATGACTGAGATAATGGTGTGTCATCAGTTTTACCGCTTTCAGTCTGCCTTTGGCATGTACGAGAAATCACAACAGAAAAACGTTGTTTAATGATCGACACCAGATGTTCTCGGCAAGTACCGGCTATCATCGTTTTTGTGGGAATCATTAAATTACTTTTCAACGATTCTCCGTTGAAATACAGAATCAATTGTCAACTAAACGTAGAGCCGTATATGCAAACAGATTTACCACTGGAAAAGAAAAATAAGATTTGTTGAACCCAATGTGCTACTTTCAATTCCAAGCACTTTAAACACTGAGGCAAATATGGACAACATACGCTTTCACAATTTGTCTCAATCAGGCATGCTTCGAAATAACATCACCGCCCATATTTGTTCCTGACTGGCTTTGCTACATTGGTTGTGGGTGCAGGTAATGCCAAGTTTCCCTCCCCACACTCCGATTTCGTGTACCCTATCTGTGTGGTGTCAAAACTCTTATCAATCGTTCAACTACCGCTTGGGCAGTGCATGACTGGAAGTCTTCCTCCTGCAGCAATTCCAAGTTCCCGAACTGCTCGTCGACCTCGTCAAGTCTAAACTTGTGCTTTTTGCTTGTTGTACTCCGTTTCGTAGAGAGGCCGGATTCCCGCTCTTCAAACTCGTAAACTTCTTTTTCATCCTCATCTTCCTCAGAACAATCACAGAAGTACCATTTTTTCGTGTCTTTCTGTTCCGTACCTGTCGGAGCAAAATCAGTTTGTTTTAACCGGTCCTGTTATTTTGTAATGTAGAGGTTTTGTATGCAAAAAAGATACCAGAACAGTAAAAACCTCCATAGGAAGAGCCTCATTCAGAGACCTTGTGGAAGATATTTTAACAATTAGTAACCTTGCACAAGTTTTCGCAGGTTGCTTCTCTTGGAAGGGGCCTTTTTGCGGTAAATGTATGAACTAGTATTTTGAAAGAAAGGTTGACGTATTGCACCGGCTTCTTGCTTCACAAACTCTTTCTGATCTGTGAAAGTTACAGTTAACACTGCAGACAGGGCCGGAACATGAGCGGGTTAAGGAATTTCCAAAATGGGTGAGGCCCATCAAATTATTTTATGTCACACTGTTGCGGATACTTCATTGAATACACGTTACTGATTTACCAGCAATAAACGTTACGTAATGCAGTGGCGAAACTATGGGGTGGACTTGGGGATATGCCCACTGTAATGTAGCTTCAGCTAATTCTTTTGTGGTGCCTCCTTGAAAAAAAATGTGTGCACCCTCGGGTGCCACTCTTCCGGAAATGCAGCCCTCGTTACGCTACTGAGAGACTGAGAGGATGTCATATTTTCGTAATTACTGCATGTCAAAAAAACAGTTATGCGATTAGATAATACAGATAAAACATCTGGCAGAGTAATTGCAACAACAGAAGCGAACCACTCTGATTTTTTTTGGACTGTTAATTCCATGGGTTGTCTCATTATGCTGAATGGTGCTTTAATAAGGCGGGAGATTTCTGAACAAATCTATTCCTTACATTTTAGCGGGTGTTCCTCCGTTTCTAGGCCTTGGGTTTCCATCAATTGCGCGGGGAACTTGGGTATGACGATAGGCGGTGGTGTTAAGCGTTTTGAGGGTAGTTTCTCCTGGAAACGCCGAACAACGGGTGTTTTCTTAAATGACTGTCTGCTCGACTCACATTCCAGGTTTCCAATCATGTAATCGTCTTCTTCATCCGTCCCAAACGGAAATCTGTGCAAATTATTTTAACTGGTCCTATTATTTTGTAATTTTCAGGCTTTGCATAAACAAATACGACAGGAAACCCCCAAAAGATGTGCCTTATCGAGAGACCTTGTGAAAGATATAACGACCGCTAACCTTGCCCAAGTTTGTCGTGGTTAACGCTTCTCTTATAAAGGGCCTTCTTGTGGCATGTTATGGTATTTTGAAGGAACGGCGGATTCAGGAAGTTTCAACTTCGTGGGTCAAGCCCGTCCGATTATTATCAGAAATTTGTAGACAAACAGATTATTCATTATCATGGCTGCTAATGTTCAAATAATAAATTTTACAAGATGTCGTTTTGTCAGTTATTGCTAGAATCCGATTAAATTGTCGACCAACCCACCGACCGACTGACTGATATTTGTGAGGTTCAATACGCATACATGACAGAGCTTGACCTCAGCTTCAGTCCGACATATCAGGTATTTGTGTCATAGTCTATTGAAATAAAACTGCATTTGAGTGACTCACTAAGCCCATGATGAAGGTTATTGTTGGATAACAGATACCTAGAGACATGTATTGGAATTGCTTCAAGTTAAAAATTTGGTTTGGTGTTTAAGGGCAAAATTGTTCTTCCTGTCAAATAATAATGTATTTCAATCTTAGCCTGGTATTTTTCTGTAGCCTACATAAAAGCACATACGTTTTTATACTTTTATAAGTTTTTATTCTCAAATAAAATAGTGTTTGCGTAGGCATAAGGAAAGACCTACAGATGACATCAATGAAAAATTTAGCCCTTTGACTATTAATAGTTAAAGTTATCCATTGTTGGAATTCAAAAACATTTTCTCTTTACTAATAGGGTTTTGCTTACCGCAAGGAGTAAGATATTAAAGTAAGTATTAAACTTACCCAAGGCAGACGGGAGAGTCGAAAAAGTAATTAATATTTGGTTTGGCTACTTCTTCTTCATATTCGGCTGCTTTCTGCAAGAGTGATATGAAGATACAGGTCAATTGATCGTAATGAGCTGCGATACCTTTTATTCTGACCTCCATTCACGAAATAAAATTTGCATATGCTCAGCTTCTCGTCACAGTTCGATGCAGCACTGAACTGACTGGATGTGCTTTATACGGCCTCAGGATATGTGTGTGACTTTTTTTTCTTGTTATGTATACTTAACAACAGAGCCACGTTGTTTACTGATAAACACTAGATGTTTTAGGCAAGCACTAACTATTATCTTATTTGTGGGAATTATTAATTTAGTTTTCATCGATTCTCCGTTTAAATACAGAATTATTTCCCACTCATTTGTCAACCAAATGTAAACCTGTATACATGTGCGCAAACAGATTTCCCCACTCGAAAAGAAAAATTTTGTTGCTACCCAATTCCTAACTGTCAATTTGAAACGTTGTCAACATTGAGGCAAACATGGAAAACATACAAGGTGTTGCTGGTGTATTTGTTTTACCGATTTATACTACAGAAAAGCCTACCTGGTCTACTTTGCTGTGCATCTCTTTAGCTCGATGAGTCTTGCTTGGGCTCCACGATTGTGCTCCTTAATACAAACATGTGCATATTTAAAGAAGTAATTAATTAGCCAACACACTTGCCAAGCTGGGCGTCCCTTTGAAAAACGCAAATCCACATTTTTCTACATTGTACCCTTCTGTTCAATATGTTTTTTCCGAGGGAAGGTCAACACGTCCGTTTATTTGTATCCTTGTTGGGAATTTCCTCGGTCGTGTAGTAAAAACTATAGCGTGCAAAACACAATTTGTAACTGCTTCTATCCGGTCCTAAATCGTGTCTTGGCAGGAATTTCCACCAAACGTCAAAATTACACAAAACACTTCAATTTACAACGGAAAGTACACCTCGAAAATATCTTTGTAAATTCCAAATATCACTTTGTTGATATCTTTGAGAAGTATCACTTAAGTACCCCACAGTGTACTACTGTATTAAGCACAATGAATGCTCCTTCACATACAAACTTCACACTTCACTACCAAGAAAAACTGTACTGTAAAAACTTTTGGACCTTTTCGAAACACTGTGTAGATGAGAATATTGGCCACAAAAACATTTCTCCAACATTTGATGTCAACCTTGCTAACCGGTATTTTCTCGAGAAGTACAGCACACCGAACCCGGTGGCCACTGATCACCTTTCTTGTTTCCCTCATCTACCAGTTCACAAGGATTCTTGTATTGGATTTAATCTCAGCCCAGGTTGGTTGTTTGTGTAAGAGATATTCGTTTGATCCTCAAAACTAAAAAGCGACTTTTGCATCAGGCCCTGATGGACTAACCTGTGGTATTTTCCTTAAGTTACCCGCAACATATCATTTCCTGGCAATATTATATTCAGTAATCTTCTGGTAACCGGAGACCCTCCCAGCTGGTCTAGGAGTGAGGAAACTCTCATTCATAAACCAGAAAACTTTAGAATGATTTCGCTCACATCTTGCGTTAATTGGGAAACTTTTTCACCAAATTCTGTCCGATTGCATCGCTGACTAAATGCTTCACAATACGCTGATCGATTCAAAGGAATTAACGGACGCATGGAAAATACACTCTAAAAAACTTGGTCACATTTGGGTTGATATTTTGCCCAATGTTGGTGTAAATATCAACTTCCCAACCTTGGGCAAATTCCTCCCAATCGTTGGTCCATGTTTGACCAACAGTGATGGCAATTAACCAATAATGTGGTAACTTTAACCAGGGTTGAGCAAAGAATAAATGCCCAACACTGTTTTGACCAACTATTTTACCGTGTACTTTGGTCATGAACGAACTTCTGGTGAATGCTATAAATAAAAACTGAACCACGCGATCTTTGATTTAGCCAATGCATTCAGGTTTGTAGATCATAGTTTTATCCATTATACTATGAAACATAACCATGAATCCCTGACCCAGTTTGCCAATACATTTAAACTCTCTACTCAAGGCTTCCGGGTGAGGTTAAAGGACCTTGACGGTTGTCAGATTCTTTCAGCCTTCCTCGAGGAGCTCTCCAAGGCGATCCACTGTCACTCTTCATATTCTTTGAAGGAGTCGATTCCATTATCCAAGACCTTAAGTTGAAGGAAGAAACTTAGGGTTATTGCCTGGAGGGAAAGTGCTACATAACGTTGCCATTCCTGGACGATTTTTGCCTACTGAGGACTGATCAAAGGAAACACCAAAAACTGATGTCAGAGGTTTTGGACTTTAATAACAAGGTCCATGAACTTGTCTCTCAAACCAGTAAAATGTAAGACCATATCTAGTCGTAGTGGTAGTCATGAAGATTGTACTTTTGTAATTGGCGATACAACTCTCCAGTTCCTGAAGGATGCACTCGAGACGTTTTGGGGCAACAACTTTCAAAGGCAAAACAAAGGACATTTTTTGATCAGAGTGAAAAATTTGAGTATATAGTGTTATCAAAAATACTAATGATTCCATAAGGAACGAGTTCAAACTGTGTGTTTATACTTACTATGCTGTCCCTTCACTAAATGCATGAGCTATTTGATATACTCAACTTGTAATCAGTGTTGCAGTCGAGACCAATTAAGACCTTCACAAGACCAACACAAGACCTCCAGTCTGAATTCGAGTCATAAGCTATTCAAATGAACTGCAACAAAAGAATTCCTTTGTCATTGTTCACACTGTTGCTTATGGCTGGTCTTGTGTCTGGTCTTGTCTTGTGTCTGGTCTTGTGATGGTCTCGGCTACAACACTGCTTGTAATGCTTGACAATGTTCACAAACGCCATTAAAATTGGCTTGGCCTTGCGATCCATGGTGTGGGAGTTACCGCTGCCTTCATTCATAGTCCAGATGGACTTGCCTTGCCCGGGCTGTCTGACATTTATCTAGAATGTCATTCACTGAAGTATGCAAGATGCTTGATTTTAGCGTGATGACATCAGCCCTCTTGTTCAGCAAGGTAACTTGCTAAAACTAACGCACATTCAATTTCTGGACCTGACGTGCGGAACACTAATTTAAAACTTTCCTAGAGGGGTTCTAAGCTTTAGAGTTTGTGCATCAATCGATTTTTCACCTACACTCGGCAATTTGTGTACTTGGGGCAAAAGAACCACTGCTAACTGCAAGTTCTATGGAAACAAGGAAACACGGAACCATGTTTTGATTTCTTGCGCAGTATCTTTTGAACAAGGCCGGTTTACTTGGTGCCATAACTCAGTTATATCTCAGTTAATTAGAGCATATAAATCCAAGTTCGATACTGCTGTGGTGTATTCAGATATTCCAGATCAGTCAACTGCAGGTGGTACAGTTCATCTTAACATTTTGGTCACTAGCAATATAGTTCAAAGCCTGACATGGTTGTGCTGCAGGTTAACAATGCCATTGAAATAATCGAACTTACTCTTAATTATATAGACTCCACTCACGTTCGTAAGGTGCCTAAATATAAAATCCTAAATCAACGACCTTACAGAGGTTACTGTGCTCAGTTTTACTGCATTGAAGTAGGTAGCAGTGGGTTGATCTCACCGGAGAACGCAAGGCGTTTACAGGCTGCGTTTCTAGGCAGAAAAAACAAACAAAAAAAAATGTGAAGAAGGATCTTAGCCGAATTGCTCTGCTCTCCAGCTGTACTATTTGTAATGCCCGTCACAATATTGCCTGGAAAACCTGTCTCTACTTAAAATTGTAGACTTTTGGTGATTCCAGCTCCCCCCGTTACCTCAATTTATTTGAATCTTTGGGCGTAAAAACTTATTTAATATAGTCTACTTTTTATTACTTAGGGTAAAGATCTGTGTATAGTGAAAGTAATTTTTAATGAGTGTTGTTTTGTTTTCGTCTATACCCTGCATAAGCCTCTGTTTCCCAACCGTGTACATTCTTCATTTTGTGAAATAAAGAATGAATAAATAATTGTTTTGTTTTACAAGGTTTGTGCTCGGTTTACTTTTTATGAATCTTTTTCTGAGAATTTCAAGGACGCTTCCTATAAATCCTAAGGACAGTGAGAACAGTTCATCAAACAGACTTTAAGCCTTCTTGAACTTCTGGACAAACAAGGATACTTCCGTGGGTTTTACCTTTTGTTCATAGTAATTTTTCCTCCTTAGCCGAGCCTTCTCCATATTTCCATCAACTCATTCCCGTCTAATTAATGTATGCTCACTGAACTTATTTTACACTAAGTTTGCACTGCTTAATTTCATTATATAGCAAACGGTTTTAATTCGGATTGAAATGAATAATAACAATTAAGAAATACTTACTTTCCTTTTTCAAACTGGCGTAGCCTTTGCTCATCACAAAAGCAAAATCGAACAAAAAATCACCAATTCACTTTGTCTGGAAGAAAATTAAAATTTTAACAAGTTAAAATTACGTCCGACAGAATAACAAGAATTTGACAGACAAAGGCAAAACTTTTCCACTCGGTAACTCAGACACTGGTTATGTTTCTCAGCTTAGTATCCTAATTGGTTAAACAGCTATTCGACTATATTTCCATGATTTGAAATGATAACAGTCTAATATTTATAGTGTGCCTTCTTTTAGGCCTATTTCTGATTACCCAGACTGAGTACAAGACCTGCGGCTTTGCAAAAATACTACATTCAAATACATGTATGTATACAGCACTACACTGATGTTATGCACCACTGTAAAAACATGTTAGGTAATCAATCCATGTGAGAAAATGTCGGCCTAATGCAGGCCCAGCTACAGAAAATGCACTAAACTTTTAGATGATCTTTTAAATTTTTGCAAATGACTGCAGTTAAAAAATGTTATGCTACTAACGGTGGATGAATGTTTGAGTTTATGGTGTGAATAATTTTTTAGAGTGAATTTCTTCTAGGAACAAAAAAAAACCATTGGTTCAACTTGTGTAATTTACTTCACTTAGTATTTTAATGAGCTGGGGCTAGTTAAATATTGTCCCTCATGTTTTATTTCTAATGTTCATATTTATCTTGTTATTAGAATGTCTTTGTAAGTGCATCCCGAAAAATGAAATAAATGATATGAAAGAAGGCTTGCAAACGGCCAATTTACGTGGTATAAAATCATTGTTCAGCCGATGTAATTTTATTCGCCTTTCTACAGAGTAAAAGCCTCTATGGATCTGATGCCTTTTCCACAGATTTCCTGCGTGACGTTTTCGCTCCCTGCATATATCTGCAGTCGTCGTCTGCAACTTGTCCGTTGTTGGGCGGAGGACATTCAACTATAGCAAGCAGCGCCACCCGTCACGGTAGCGTTGCTGGCCGCTAAGGGGGAAAACCAGTTCAAATTTCGCAATCTTTGGGAGTTGTCAAAATATCAGGTAATTCGACTGTTCTGACGTCAGCCCCTGATTAGAGAAGTAGCTATATTAACTACCTATTTTCTGCCACGTACAATTTCTGGAACCTGGATCGAAGATAAGATTCCCCCCCCCTCCGGGCCCCAGTTTTGGCCAAGTGGCCGGGCATTGTGCGGTTAGTTGATACCGAAATCACCCAGTCTGGTATCCAGACTACAACTCTAATAGTCGTAGAGCGATCAATGAGCAGCGCCATCCCCTATGATTCGCAAGGGCCATGGGGAATCCCCCCTCCAGGCCATATTTCGCAATTTGGGGAATTGTCTGGCCGTCATCTATTTGGACGTCGGCCTCTGATTAAATTAATCAAATTATGGCTTATTTTTTGGTATCTATTTGATACAACGATAAAAGTATGAATTTGGTCAATAATTTTTTTCCTTAGGCCTAAAATGAGCAGGTTCGAAATGGAATAGTTGCCAATTAAGATTTGCGAGGACAATACATGTGTCATTTAAAACAGTTTGTCTTCTTTGTCTACATTTTCACATCCTAGCGAAACTTAATTATCCACTTTGCCACTGGCGTCGACGTTAGCCAATAATGTTCTGTAGCATTAATTAAATGATTCCAACGTCCTTTTTTCCGATTAAGTGAGCAATTGTAAACTGCCGTCAATATTGTGTAAGCCTATGTACTTTTGTTCATGACCAGCTCAATTCAAGGGGTACTTGGCATTAAGTTCAACAACCATGATCCTTTAGAACTCAGCGTGTTAAATTTAATCTTACCTGGCTGTACAATGTTTCGTATCACAGCTCTTCTTCAAGTGTGGTTGTCTTTCTGTCCTCAGTCAACAGATGAATTTGACGCTCCCGTTGCCAGGCAAGAGTCCCTCGACAAGACTGCCTCAGAGCTAATGCATACGTAGCAATCGTTGAATTCTCATTTCTGGCATGCATCGATGCATGCCCAGTTGACAATTGCGTCACACGGAACTACGTGTTATTGCCACTACCTGATCGAGAATTGTTTAATTCTCCCAACTTGCCCTAGTCTTACTTTCAAGACGTTAGTGCTTGATCAAGACTGATCAAATAGGTCAAATTTCTGACTGGGTGCGAACTCATAACGCAGTGGCTATATATAAAAATATGGAATTTCTATATTGTGTACACGACCTTAGGGGTTACAAGGCTGCACTTTGGGGGTTTTAAGCGCTTGGAAGGGAATGACGAAGATAAAACACAGTCTCTCGACAAATATGCTCTGTGGGGGATGGGCACGGCTCCAGTTGCCCGTCACCCTCCATCCGCTCTTGGGTGAAAACAGTTGCCAAGCTCAGCCCAAAAATGGACTCACCAAATGAAAGGATATATGGAGTAACCAAGAACTCCCTTTTGGTAATGGTGATTGCTCTGAGTTATTTCTCAGCGTTTAAGCTTTTAAACTCCGGCACAAGGTGAAAAGTTTTCATTCACATAATGTACACGTCCATCGCGAAAAATTAGTGTTGCAATTTGTGTGAAGAAACATGATTCAGAAAGGCCTAAGAGAAAACTTGCCTTTTGTAAGGTTCTTTTTTCTTGGATTGTTTTAAAGGGTATTGGCATCCATTTAATTTTGTGTTTAACATATATCTCGGGCATTGTTGGCAAAGAGATGATTTTTAGGCCAGCCACGTGTATGCTCAAAACTGGTTCCTGAATCGTGTGTAGGCCTGTGAACATGTACATCATTTTTGAAAACGTGACAATTGGGCCTTCAAGGTGTGCATCTCCCATCTGGTATTCATGTGCATAATGAAGAGAATACATCTATATTAAACGGTTGCTGTTGAATACAGAATAGAATAGGGGAAAAGGACGACACTACAGTATTTTAATGGTTACGTCTTAAATATACACGTACCAAGCGCATGACACAAAGATGAATAATCCACCAACCTGACAATGATGATTCACTGGGATGTTTTATTAAAAGAGACAAGCAATACATGTCTTCCATGCACTCTTCAAACTACCGTATCCATATTACATCACATGACCATGCTGAACTTCGTGGTATTGTACATGTATCCACATGTGCGTACGTGGTGGAGTTTTGAAAGAAACGCCATTGCAAGTGCCTGCAAGTCCAGACTTCAGCCTTTCAACTAAAAAGAGACTAAAGCTTTCACTAGGTTCATCCTCAGTTGCAAAAGAGTTATTATTGGGCACGTGAAAGTGCCTATGACAGAACCAATCATGTAGCATCATAATCGTTATACACATCAACCACTTGGAACTGGATGACGTGTAAACACACATTTTGGGGTTTGTTTCGCGGAGTACGTATACGCTCGTTTAAAGAATTTGTTTTTCCATTTCCGCGGCATAACGCGTCAGGCTTGGTTGGGTCGAAGCGCTATTGCAAGGTTGAAGAATTTGCAGGTTAGAGGCACCAGCCCAGCAACTCTTTTTCAGGCAAGAAAATCTGACGTTATCCAGCTGTAGTGGACAACATGAAACAAGTGATGACAAGTACGTTTATGTAATGTGCATTGAGTCTTGATTTTTTCAACCAAGTCCACTGTAAACATTGGACTGGTTTAAGGTTGCCCGTGGACAGTACATGCACAAAGACTACAGAATTAGAGAATATCAGACAATAACAATTAACACAAACAAAGTTTAATGAGAAAGCATTTAAAAATTACTCCATTGAGTAAGTTTTGAGTACTTTTCTAATTAAAACATACTTTTTACAAACCTTAGAGTGGTTTATATACATGCACTCGTGACTGAAATTTGTCGATTTGATAATTCTAGCTGAGTTGAATATTCAAACATATGTGTTAATTGTTTTCGTGCATTCTTTAATTCTAAACTTGAGTTACATTTTACGCTTGGGTGAGCACGTCTTCCGACTACATGTACAGTGTTTAGGTACACTTAAACTTTCCCTGGCCAGCTTGGAATGTTTTTGCCCTGGTTTATTGGTCACCCTCCTTGCTCCATTCACATTATCACCTCAGTGCTGTTTCGCTTTGTTACTGAGTAGCCATTTTTAATATTCTGATGATGGCTGAATAAATAATAATAATAATAATTCAATAAAGCCAATCGGATTTGGGCTGTTGACATTTTACAGCGCCATGGTTGAGACCATCACAGGACCAGACAAAAGACCAATTGTTGGGCAACAACGAGACCAAAGGAATGTCCTTAATTCAGTTTAGCTGGTGAAATCAATACAGACTGGCGATTTGATACTCCTCCTTTGGGTCACCTCCAGGTTCTTTGGCGGGAAGTTCGGCCCAACCACTAACCATTGCACAGATGAAGTGCCAGCATTAAAATTTCTTTATTTCTTAACAATCAACTCGATTATAGTTCAAGCATGGGGTAAATGTGTTTTAAGGAATTCCTTGGGGGATGATGAAGGAGATGGCATCTGATGTGGCACCCCACCTCGCTCTGTTCAGCTGAAATAACGTGATCCAGGCCACAAGAGCTGCGGTCCATATGACCGATCCTATACAGGACTTGATCAAATCTGAGGGAAGGAGGTACGAACCAGAGGCATTAGTGATTTGGAGATGACAGATTCAGTGCAGGACTTGCACTGATATGGTAACTGTAGGTGAGCTGGAGTTCACAGTTCAGTGAGCCAAACTGGCTTGGCTCAGGCTGTAAACAACCCACAAACCAATGGGAAATCCATGCAGCCGCTATAATTACTGGCAGCTTCCTGCAGTTCCATATAAGTGTGTGTTAATTTGAGCCACAGCCATGCACAGTTGGACATACATGTACATGTATGTACCTGTAGACTTGGGCTGAGTCTCAGGCTACGTCCAAAACAGCACTGCACTGCTATCCAAGGCTATGGCTACAGACTGTTGTTTACATGTACACGTATTATGAAACAGATAGACACAGCCACAGAACAAGTGATTCGGATGTTGTCTGTGACCAAGACTTCATTTTGCGTGGAAAAGTCCTCAGTGCGAGGCTGTAATGGAACGGTACAATGCATGAAAGATGGACTCTTCACTCAATGTTGGTTCAAACAGTTGCACAGTTTCATCTGATCTTTTTGACTTCAAACACAGGATTTAAAATGCTGCACATCTTAGGAAACTGAGAGACTGAAGACTGAATATTCTGCCATGATTTTGTGTTGCCTGTTTACTTCAGCATGATGGTAAATGATTGTACCAACTTTGCTTAAAATACATACATTTCTTCATCTGCTTTTGCTCCTCAAAGGGAGGTCGGATGAAAGCTTCTTTGAAGAACCAAATGAAGTTGATGAACCAAAGAAATGGCAAGAGAAAAAAGCCACCTGATGAGAGATGATAAATCGGTAAACTTGTGAAGTGAATTATTCGGTGGAATACTCATGTTTCTTTTGTTTTGTTACTTTATTTTGCCTTTTGTTTTGCTATGAAGCAAAGAAAAACATTCTGTCATATTTCTAAACTTTATTTTTCAAATTTAATGTGGTTTGAAATATGTATGGTTATCATTTACATGTATGTCATGCATGCAAATTATGTTATTTGAACTTCTACAACAAGAAATATTGGAATGGAAGGCCTTTGGGTCACAATTTTTTGATAATTTAGATTTTCAATTCCAGGCATGTCCAATGCCTCTTGGTATTATCCTGTTTATAAGTGCAATTCATGAGCTTAGCAGTAGGGTACTCAGGCATTATATTCCCCCAGACATGGGTCCTGCAAGGTGAACAGAGGGCTCAATATACATGTAGCTAGGCTTTTCGCAGAACAGTAGACAAATTTGATGTATGACTATGGTCCCCTATGGATCCTAAGTAAAGCGCACAAATAAAGTGTGATGTCATCAGTAGGTACTGTACAGGTACATGCAAAGATGTAAGCCTGCTGTTACTTAAAACGTAGGAAAAAGTTGTGTACTTACCTATGTAATATTTACGACATAATTCCAATTTGTCTACATCAGGAACTTTATCTAGATTCATGCTGAACTGAGTCCACTGTGTACGTAAGAAAATACCACAACATTTGAAATCCACCTACATACTTAATGTTCAAGTACAATGCAGGCCTATTTAAATAACGATGGTAACATCCTGCAGTTCACTGCCAATCTCTAATTTGTGGTTTAACAGATTATCTTAAGAGCAGAGTCCCTCCACATCCCCCCTTCATGCAAATGTAGTTCAGTGCTGCAACGATGGAAAATGGGAGATGTGTTACGGCTGCCGTAACAATAGCCACTTCGTTTTGTTAATCTTAGTGTACTCACAATGGCTGAGTTTGGTTATTAGACTAACAGTGAGACGCCTGATCAACAAATGCAGGCATGGTAGGTAAGAAAATTGAGTGTTTTTTTAATATTAATAGTTTTCAAATCAGAAAGAGTCGGCCAACACTTAATGCCCCTGTGCACAAACCTATGACTATGAGACTGTCTGATTGAAAAAACCTGTTTCCTTAGTAAATGCTTTGGAATTTTCCGAGCAAAATTTCACTTTTTAGGCATGTTACTGTTCACATGGTTAGGACATGCTATGATGTTATCAATTTAAATTTCAGATGGCTGTTAAGCCCCATAACCAGTAAATTTTAAGGGACAATTAGTGTTGTCCGTATATGGATCACTTTCCAAAGATTTTGTTTACTTAACAAAATATTAGTTATTATTCAACTCAGGTAGGCCTACATGTGCAATGTATGACGTAAGTGGGAATCAACACAGGAAGTACATGTACAGTCATGACAATTAACCGAGCACGGCCGTCTAGCCCTATAGTACTGCACTGAATCGTTTACATTTCCACATAATGCAATGCTGCAGTTAAAAAATCACTGACTGAGAACAGAAACCCTTAAGGTTTAACTAACCTTCCGAACGTATACAAATCAAAGGCAGCAAGGTATACTGTAAGTCTGTACACTGTGCTTGAATTTTGGACGAAAAGCCAGTTTCCGTGGTCGCTGATGTCACTCACACGGGATGTGCAGTTGAGCGGAAAATATTTTTATGGACAAGCAAGTGGCTTCATCAAATTTTGAAATAATAAATAAATTTCTCAAGCAAATAAATTTACACCAAAATTGAAAAAAGAAAAAAAATATTGTAGTTTGAAATTATCTGAATCTGTCAAATGAGAATTTTGATTACCTCAATAGATGTTCGAAGTCTTGAACGAGACCAATCAATTTCTCATTTACAACAATAAACTGACTACATGTCCTCTTTTAAGTTTATACGATGCAAACTCATTATTTCTTTACCTTGTGAAATTCTGCTTCATCCTTATTTACAGTGCTGTATTCTACCGTTATAACAGTGTAATCGTGTTTTCTATGCTTAGCACCCTAACAACAAAATTCTTTGAGCCTAAACCACGATTTTACGCATAATGAGTTCGAAGTTTCACTAGAAACTCATTGTGATCCAATTGCTCTGCCTGATCGTAACTTAAGCGAGGGACAGTAAAGCCAGTCGAAACACACACAGCTTTAAGATGGCGGAATACCTTGCGTCGATTTTTGGAACAGAGAAAGACAAGTAAGTTTACCGAAGTTGTCTTGAAATAAGTATTGTTCCTGTATGACTGAAAACTATTTAAGTGTAGTCTCTCTTGGGTTTGTTTTTCCCTTAGTTATTACACTGATAGTTAAGGTAAACGGGCCAAATACGTTGTCTGCGGTAGCGCCGCAGTTCAAGCATGTGTCATGTGCCGCTGGGGTCGTAGTAGGCCGCCCTAGCGTTGTACTGTACATGTACTTATTTAATACGGCAACCAACTTGAGCGCGCACTGGGCTCCCACTATGCTCCTTAAATGAACCTCGTACATGTAGTTCTAGGCTGGGTTTGGGAACACACGACTTGATGCTGATTTTAAGCTGCATGGAGAGGCCGAGTTTAATTTTGGCAATAATCTTGCACAAATACCGCCAACAAACAAATTAATGATCTCCCATTTTTCACCCATGTTTGGCATGTTTGGAAAGAGTTCTGTATCATGTGTATCAAGTAATCATTTCCATGTACATGTACTATGTATTGATATTTTCCTTAGCAACTACCAAAAAGTGTAATCTGGTCATAATTCTACTTCTACATTGGTAGTGTTACTTGACAATCAGTCTCCACATTATATCATGCCATGCTGGTGAATAATCACTAGGCCCCAATTTAGGTCCATTTTATCTAGTCTTAAAACATGGTGAATATTCCTGGACCCATTCTGTCATGGCCTATACAACTTAAGGTTACTTCCAGTTCTGGAAGAAATACAAATGCAAGGTGATGACTGGATACAGAATTCCTTTCTTGAACTCAGTGATATCACAGAATTGAATGTAAAATACGATGTACTTGCATTCATATCATTTGTACCAAGCCTTACAAAATGCTTCACAGTCACTTCGCCCCATTTTCTCATCGCCCCTAACCACTTCCCCCCATCCCCACTTCACCCCATTTCCACTTTGCCTCATCCGTGCTCGAGTGTGTTACATGCTTCTTCAAAACGTGGTCAAGAGAGGAGTTTCACAAGCGACATGGAGTTTATACATGTAGAAAACTCTACGACATTCACTAAATTAATGTCAACTGCGTTGCCCATGGTGAATTGAAACATATGGTTGAACTACATGTAGCATAGGGTTTATTTCTCATCCACTTCAAGTTTATTTCAAAGCAGTACACAATTCTGTATACATCATTCTGATAATTGTCAAGATAGACAGCTGTGCCCCAGCCATCGGATAAACCTCAGTGCGCTGTAGTAGGACATTTTGTGGAAACCAGCTCGCCTCAAGTATGAGCAAAACAACCTAAAATTAAACTCGTGAACACAGAAAGTACACACATCTGTAGACAAGGCACTACCGTTAAGTTCTGTGAATTAATGTGAAGAAATCTTGCAACATCAATGTTTTTTTTTCGATGCGTGAGGTCACGTACATGTACGGTCGCCGCAGAATGAATAAACTGGTTGCTACACTCCGTCATGCATTCTCTTGCATGGGTGCGGCGTGGCGGGAACCAGTGCTATGAGCACGTGTTTTTACCACAGCGATAGCGAAACACGAAGAGAACTCATGAAACTAACAGAAGTTGCCTTTCAAATGTGGCAAATGTAACTGGGAAAACATGTAAACACAAGCGTAATAATGGGAAAAATGTCATTCTTAGGTGTTTGTGAAGACAGAAAGACAACAGGAGTTATTTATTTGTCTTTCTTATATTTATTAAATTTGTTTTTTCTAATTTGCCAATAAAAATGTTAGGGTCTTCTTGCCGAAAACCTTGGGTCTGTTGGAAAATCGGAGGCATTGTTTTGGCCTTTGCAAGTTAGATTCTCTGACCGTTATTTGGGTACTCAAATGTCAATGTTTTTATTTGTTGCATCTACTGTAGGCCTACATGTACATGTGTGCCTGTGTTACTAAAGAACAGAATGATTAAAAATCAATGGGGCAAAGTAGAAATGGGGCGAAGTGGGAATTGGGCGAAGTGGGAATGGGGCGAAGTGGAAATTGGGCGTAGTGGGGACGGGTTAAAGTGGTTAGGGGCGAAGTGGGAATGGGGCGAAGTGACCGACACCCTACAAAATTGGTGACCAGTTGACGCTCAATGTGCAGAACCTCAATTCTCATGAAAATAATGAGTGCCTACTAGCATGCACTGTTGCCATTTAGACTGCACAAGAAATATTTGTAGGTTTGTAAACTCTGATTCTGCTTGTTTAGCCCCCCATATTTAAATACTTCCTGTTTCCCCACCTACCCTACTTTGATGATGCGGCTGTACATTTTGGGAGGATGTGAAATTGGATTTATAAAAACTAATAATTTTATCTTAATTCGAATGTTTTGTCTTCGAAAGATTCCATGTCGTTCATTGTAAAATGCATGTTTCTTTTACTCTTCGGAACATTCAAGTCATTTGAAATAAATACAACCTGACCTCTCTTGCTGTTATTTTTAACAAGTTGACAAATGTTGCGGAATTGAATCAATACATGTACATGTACCTGAGTTTTAAAAGTGTTAAAAACTCTACCCACCTACACTGTTCTGAGACGCCATGTAATGGGAAGCAGAACTTTTTTAAAAGGGGACTGAGAGTCATTTTGTTTGTGGGGGGTTATGTGTTTGCTCTATTTGTTTTGATTTTATGTTTAATGTTTAATAGGCAACATACTGTACATGTACTGTACATGTAAGATTACATTTGAGTCTGATTTTTTTTCTGCCAAAGGGTCAACTGTTCCTTCTACTTCAAGATTGGAGCTTGTCGCCATGGTGACCGTTGCTCACGACTTCATAACAAGCCGACATTCAGTCAGACCATAGTGCTGTCCAACATCTATCAGAATCCACAGAACACTGCACAAAGTGCAGATGGATCACACAGTAAGATGAACTTCTCGTTAGTTACGAATTCCTCCAGGTTGTGTGGTTTCCACGGTTACTGGACGTCTTAGTCTTTGAGAGGAGATTACCTGATGTCATGGCTGAAAGGCTTGGTTTTCTCAAACATGTCTGATAAATTAACATAGAATAAAAAGCCTTTCTGTGTACCGCATAGTAATGGATTTCTGTACTCTAAAAAAAAGACTTTCAACATGTTCTTTGCGTCACGGAGTACATGTACATCCATAACGAAAAATACATCTTGAAATACATCAGACTTAGACCAGCCAGCCAACCATGGCAAGATTGGTGGTTGAGTGGTTAAAACACCTGCACTGGT